ACACTTTATCTCTAACCTTCATTCATTTTCACATCTTTCTTTTTCGGGAGAAAGTCGGTACCCTCTACAAAAATGACGAAGAAATTTTTTGCTTTTCTACATTTTCGAGTTGCACGAACACAATCACTTGTCATGCACATTGAGTCACATCAAGTCACAGCACATCGAGTTGAGTCTGCACACACATGAGTCGAGTTGATCCAAACACATTGAGTCGCACAATGAGTCACGTAACACCAAACCTTGGGTCAACCTCAAGATAACTATAGACATGAGCAAAGTCCTATAGTCCAAAATATAGATGCAGGTACACTAAGTCCCTGACGGATGAGTAACCTTTACAAAAGATTTGAGGCAATTTGACGAGCGGAAGGACACAAGTTTTCGAAGGCGTGAGAAGCTATCACTTCCAAGGCGTGAAGACGAAAAGATTTGAGAAGATGGCTCGAGGCGTAGTGGTCTTCGATGGAATTCCCTAAGATGTGGAAGATGTCACCTTGATTTGAGAAGACGGCTCGAGGCATAGTGGTCTTCGACAGCATTCCCTAGGTTGTGAAGGCCAGGTTGTCACCCGGTTTGAGCACGAGGCGTAGCAATTTTGGACGGCGTTCCTAAGATGTGGAGGTTGTCAAACAAAACAACTTTGATTCGAAAAAATTGATTGCATCCCGAGACGTGGACGATTCACATTGCAAGTTTCTCGAGGCGTAGAGACCTATAATTATCAGATAAGTTTTCCCAAGATGTAGAAAAATTGTCAATCAATGCACACTTCTCAAGGCGTAGAAGTTGGCGATTGTGTCCCAAGGCGTGGGTACTTAGTGGAATTTCACTCGAGACGTAGAAGCTCACGATAGGACTCCCAAGGCGTGGAAACTATTAAACTTCCCAAGGCGTGGAAAATCATCATTTAGAAGACTGCTCAAGGCATAGGAGTCTACAACATGTTGCTCAAAGCGTGAAAATATGTCATCTTTCACTTGTGGGTTACTCAAGGCGTAGAAGCTCACGATAGAATTCCCGAGACGTGGAAGATCATCATCCAGTAGGTCACTCGAGGCGTAGTGGTTCACGATAGACTCCCGAGGCGTGGAAGATCATCATCAAGTGGGTCACTCGAGGCGTAGTGGTTCACGATAGAATTCTCGAGACGTGGAAAATTATCATCTGTTGGATTTCTCGAGGCATAGAAAAATACCAAACGTGTTTGTTGCCATGCACTGGTGCCAGATACGCATTTCTTTCCCCTGAAACTCCTTTATTTGTGGAACTAACATTTTTCTACAGGTATCGGCGTTAAAAAAGAATGATTTAGGATCGCAAAACGTTCTAAACCATTCTCCGTCCCTATCGATTTACTTTGGCTTTTGTTTTTGAAACTTATATTTCTCCAAACTCAGTCAAAGTGGGGGGTTCTGTAGACACCTGATTATGTCTCCCCAGAAACCAAACCCAGTGATGAGTACCTTTCACGTCTTTGATTATCGAGCAAGGTGAAATGTTGAAGAGTCTCATGAATTTTCCCTTTTCTAAGATGTTTTAATTCAAAATCATTCATTTCGTATTTCTAAAATCATTCATTTCGTGTCCTGTTTATAAAAAAACATCTAAACCATTTTATTTTGGTCCATAATTTGGGTCCAATAATTGTATAGTTGGATGGGGCTTTCCAATGATATATTATAAGCCCAATTCTGAGTTATAATGAGGAAGTTATGACCAAAATACTAAACTGGGCCCAACCGAGCTTTATATGCGGACCCAATAATCATGTGGAGGGTCCATTAATATTAATTATATTTCTAAAACCATTATGATTTATCTTAAGCTCTGATTTATCTTAAGCTCGATATATATATATATATATATATATATATATATGGGTTTTACGTAATTTGTTAATTCACGAATAAGTTTTACGTAATTTGTTCTATAAGGCATTTTTATTAGCTTCGTACAAGCGGTACTTCTCCCGATACTCATAAACCTCCGAATTCCCAGGCGGTTTGTGTATGATAGAATGCCCATTTAGAACCATTCTCCAAGTGTAAGTTATGACAGAACTATCTCCATATTGTTGAGAATAGTCAACTGCATTCTTCGTTGGGTGAAAAACCCAATGAGATATGAACATAATCGGGGACTGAGACAAATTGTAAGAGCAATAATATCTCTTGAGATCCTCGATTGTGAATCTTGTGAAGTTAAAAGGTCGAAGTTTGTTGCTTCGTGATAATTGATTATCTAAATAAAGGCGAAGTGTGTCAAGCAAATCAGTGTCACATCTCTCACAATCCCCAAAAGGATATTTCGTAAACTTTCTACTTGGAATTCGACTGATTTCATTTCTCCTACTTTCTCGTAACTCACTCCGATAATTCCCATTCTAAACCATAACTAATAAAACAAAAAATAGAAATTTGTAAATGGGTCATACATATCAATATACCAAATAAAAGTGTATATAATAGTTTACAAACTCCACACTTATACACTATATACTCCAATTTCAATTTATACTTAAAAAAATCAGCAAGAAAATCAATATTCTTGACATAAACAAACGACCAAATAAAAAAATGCAATAATCAGTTTAAAATTGTGGTTAGGTCAATGAAAGATTCAATATATATACCAAGAAAATGCAAGAAAATCATTATATACTCCCAACAATTACCAATTTCTAGCAATTAATATACATTTTCAGCAATAATTAATGTCAATTTTCATCAATAGTTATCAAATTACAAATTAGCCGGATAATGATATCTTTAAGAGCTTAAATCGCCTGATTAGGAAAAAGGGTAGCAATCACTTGAATTAATCGGTTTTAGGGTAGTAATTAAAAACTTTTTTTTTGGGAAATTCTACATGCTGGCCTCATGGTTTTGCGTTTTCTACGTAGAAGACGAACTTTTTTCCAACTCTCTTCAGTGACACCAAGGTTTAGAAAAATTTACATAGTGACCTTTTTTAGGTTTATGGCTAACCTTTTTAGTTAAAATGGTTAACCTTTGATTTTTTTTATTAAAAAATTATTTAAATTATATTTTAAAATAATAAAATTTAAAAAAAAAACAAAAAAATTCAAATTTTATTAGAGAGGAGAGAGAAAGGTGGGTTTTTTTTTTTTTTTTTTTTTTTTTTTTTTTTTTAAATTTTTATTTAATAATTTAAATAATTTTTTAATAAAAAAAATCAAAGGTTAACCATTTTAACTAAAAAGGTTAGCCATAAACCTAAAAAAGGACACTATGTAAATTTTTCTAAACCTTGGTGCCACTGAAGAGAGCTGGAAAAAAGTTCGTCTTGCACGTAGAAAACGCAAAACCAAGTACGAAGTACCAAGTGCGAACTGCCTCACCTAATAGTTTGTATTAATCTAATACGAAGTACGTTATAAGTGTATTTAAGGTTAAAATTTATGTTAGGAAAATAGTAACTTTTTGTAGTATTTTAGAGTAACTTTAACTCTTTTTACAATAAGTTAATGAAAGTCTGTCTTAATTAAGAATTTGAGTTTTCTCTTTCTGTTGATTTTTTATTTTACAAAAAGTTACTCTTTTAATTCTTTTTTGGTTTATTTGGGCATTAAACCTTCTATTTTATACAAAGTTATGTTACATTAGTTTGAAGAATTGAAGAAAGTCCAAACGATACAATAAGTTACTCTTTTAATTCTTTTTTTGGTTAGTTCTATAATATTGTGTATAAAATTACAAATTCAGTCTAATAAAGAAAAATATATCAAATAGAATCTTATTAGATTTATATATATTAATGTATAAATACCTAACATATACTCCGTATTTTTCATAAGTTTGTAATTACGGAATTTAATTAAAGATATCTAGTCATTAAAATTTTACGGAAAAAAAAAAAATCAAGTATTATGATCTTTTTTATTTTTTGATTTTCCCTTCAAAAAAAACATATTTTTTGATTTAATTTGAAATAAGTACTACTCATATATCGGTGAAAGTAGTCTTTTAAACAATGCAAAAGTCAAAGCGGAACACTTATAAAAATGAAATGGAGTATTTAAACGAGGTGAAATTTATTAAAAAATAAAAAAAATAAAAAAATAAAAAAAGTGAAATAAACATTGCCTTTATTACCCCTTTATATATACGTACAAGAAGCAAAAAATACGGAGTACGTTAAAGGCTTTGGTTTGCAAATACACTCGGGTTTATTCTCCCGCTATCAGCAGACAGCAGCCATGGTAATTCTCTCACCTCACTCCCAACTCAATTTTCTTGTAATGTATTTTTGATCAACTAAAAATTAGGGTTTGCTTATTAATTCTGAGTTGCAAATTTTGGGTTTGTATTTTTGTAATGATTAATTTGAATCTTTCTTCCATTAATTTATTCAATCATAATGATTTTGTTGATTATTATATAACCCTAATTAAATCTGACATTTTGAGTAATGACTTTAGGATTCGTTATACTACGTAATTTTCTTGATCATTGATTTTATTTCCTTAATTTTCAATTTTTATGATACAATAATTCATACATTACGAATTCAGAACTATATAAATACGTGAATTTGGGTTTGAAGATTAATGTTCTTGTTTATGGGATATTTGAATTTGCATTCTTACTATATATTTTGTTCGAGGAAAAGTGTGATGATTTATCTTCTAATTGTTATTGTGAATTTGTGATTATGTGCACTTTCCTAGTTATATATATCAGTCAAAGCAATTTTACAAAGTTCCATAATTAGGGAAGTCTGATATTATGTTACACAATATCGCAAAATAAATCGCTCATCTGACCAATTGCAAGAATTACGAACTATGTTTTCCGGCGTTGAATTATATTTTGCCAAGAAAAGAATGACGGATCATGTGTTTTTGGTTATGTGTTATATGCTATGTTACTCGGACTCGGGTACGAGTCCAAGTATCCGACTCGATTATTTTGTAAAAAATTTCTATGATTTTGAACTAAAATAAATTGTCAAAGTGTCGTATCTATGTCCGAGTGTTGAGGGTGGTAAAATAAAGAGTCCAAGTAACATTAATAGATTCGGATTTTGTGTCTTATAAGATTGAGGATTATGTTCTTATTCTTTTGAAAATAAATTGAACTTGTTCTTTGGGTTTAGTTGAATTATATATATGTTTATTTCATTTTCTTGTCGATATATGTTTTTTTATGCATGCATTGAGATTAGACCATGTTTTTTGAGTGTAAATTACATGCTCTTTATTTCTTTTAGGTTTATGTTCTTTTGTTTAAACTCCTATATTGTGCATCTAGGTCCCACAAACTGATAATTGACACAATATCCTCTAATTTTTATTGTTGATCTCTATTCAGAGATGAAGTTTATGTATGTATTTTGAGTACAAAACCCTGTCTGACTACTGTACTACTATAATTTCCTCACAGGAAGTGCAAAATCGCAACGTTGGAACACGGGTAGATAGGCTCACCAGTTTACCTGATGATTTGTTGATTAAGATTCTTTCCCTGCTTCCTACCAAGGAAGCTGCTTCGTTGTCTTTCTTCTCCAAAAAAATCAGGGGTCTTTTCCCTTTAATTACAAGCCTTGATTTCGATGGTTCACCTACATCACGTTGTTTGAAACACTCCTCTGCAATCCAGCATTTTCCCTCTTTTGTCACCTTTGTCGATACTGTCCTCCAAGAATACCGATCTCAGCATCTCAAAAGGTTTAGACTTCAAATTAGCAGAGCAGACTGTGTCACCCCGAACTCTAATGGTTGTCTCCCTGACTTGAAGTTCACACATCTTAACAAGTGGATCTCTTTTCCATTGACTTTTGCTGGCCTTAGGGAGCTGGACCTCTGCATTCTGGTGAAGAAACCAGATAAAGCTCAGTTGGCCCCGGCTATATTCACGTGTGAAACATTGGAGGTGTTGAAGCTTCAGGTTAACATTGGTCTTGATCAAGTTATCACCATGCCAGCCTATCGTCTTCCAAACTTGAAACGACTACTTTTGCTCACGTCATTCATTCCTGATGATGACCTTCTGCCCAGGCTAGTTTCGAGCTGCCCCTTACTTGAAGACCTCACATTTCAAGCCTTACCAAACCATGTCCATAACACATTTATCTATCCAACTTCCCTTCGGAGATTGTGTCTATATATGAATAGACTTGGGAGTAATGTGCGCGATTACAATGACTTAGTGCCTTTCAGCTATCCTAATTCAGAGTACCTTGACTTCATGGATAATTCAAGATGCATGTGCTCAATCCCAAAGATTCCTTGTTTTGTTAAAGAAGCACTAACCATCCCGTACATCTTATTACATGAGGAAATTCAGCTTTCTCTTGAGGAGATAATTACCCTCATCAAACCCTCGTCTTATGTTCAACATTTGTCTTTGCTTGGCTGTTTCTTTCTGGTATGTCACTCTGATCCAAACTCTGTTTATATTTAAATAGTTCTTTGTTATTTTGTGAATCATGAAATTGACCAACTGGTTGTCAAATGTTTACCTTTGGTTGAAGGGATTTGACTGTGATAAGGAAAAGGTCCTAATGGATCAACTGCCCATATTTCATAATCTGAAGCATCTGGAGCTGTCTTTTTCTGGTGAAAATCACTACTGGGATAAGTTGTTGCTGCCACTTCTTTTCAGTTCGCCTGTCTTAGAAACACTTGTTTTGCCATGGGTAAGTCACTGTAACTCTGTGTGTGTATGGTTTTGGTATTATTTACACAAGTGCAATGCATTATACCTATATAGTTAATGTTGCATTAGCTCTTAACTGTAAGCAAATTATGTTTTTGATTGTTGTCTACTACTTTGCAGGGGCTCATGGAGTTTTATCACCACTGTTTCGATCGTTGTGGATACTTTGAATACTCTGGATATAAAAGCGAGTCACTGGAGTTGGAACTAAAGTTTTTCAGAGCAGCTCGCGTCGTTCCCTCATGTTGCAGGTATCGTCTTAAGAGAATAGTGATAAAAGATTACTATGGGTTATTTGAACGGGAAGTAGAAATAACCAAGTTTTTCCTAAGAGAAGCATTTGTTTTGGAGGAATTGGTCATATTTCGAGCCCAAGAATCTATTATTCCAATTCCAGATCATATGTCGATTGAGACTACATTAAAGAAGTATCCAAGAGCCTCAACCACCTGCTCAATTCAAGTATTGTGATCACCTTGATAGTGTACAAGTCATCTTCGTTCCCCTCTTATAAACTGTAAACTAGTTTCGTTAAGCATTATTTGACAGCATGTGTATTGGAAATGACTACTGATAGACAACAGAAAAGGAAATTGTGAACTGCATCCAATGTACAGCGTGGCTGCTCAGATTATTATATCTGGTGTGGGGAGTGAAATCGTCAACAGTTCGAGGATTGTGATCCGGTAGCAAGTTGTCTGTTTAGGACAATTACATGTAACGCGAATTCAGTAGTCTACTGTCGATGCAGTACAAGTGATCTTAATTACGGAGTACTAGAGTAGATCAATGGGAAAACCTCTTTGGCTGGTCTACTGCTTCTAGATTAGGAGAAATGATTATGTCATGCCTGCGTTATAAAGATGTCACCGAGTTTAATCTTAGTTTTCACTTACATAAATTTGTTTTGATTTCATGTTAATTGAGAAGGGGTAGAAGTTAAGGTTGGTAGCGTGCTTTTAATTAGAAAATAAATACCAAGTACAATTTAGGAATTTGCATTCTATTGTATAGTAGGCCTATAATGTTATAATGATATATTTTCTCCATTCTTTTTTATAAATTTCAATATTTGAAATGTTAAAAAGTATATCGATAGATTGTTAAACGTCCTTGATAGGTCTCACACGCATATATAGACTATATTCTTGATTTAAAGTATATCGATGATACTTTTACTGTTCTTTGCTCATCGATCTTGTCATCCTTGATGATTTTTTTCTTTTCTTTATCTAGTCAGTCTCTCTTTGTTTTACTGCACATTTGCTTCCAATATACTTCGTATATATATTATTATTGCACTTAATCTCAAACATATCTAATTTGAATTGGGTGGCATGCTAGTTTTAATTTGTGAATTTTTTCTTGATTAGTTTTATTGTTTGCTAATTTTTATATTACGTAGTTTTTTATTTGAAATTCATATTATGTGATAAATTTATAATTTGGGAAAATTTTCCGAATTACACACTAATTAAATTGATAGTCAGATCAAAGCCCTACCAAATTAGAGCATGCACGTAGAACTTTAAAAATACAGTACTATTTTCAAAATCAAGTACACACTTGTCAATTCTTTGCCTTTGACTTTGTTACTTAGCGTTAGAACTTCGAAGCCTGTTTTGATTAAGATTAGTACGTAATAATAGTCTTTATTCTTCAATTTAATCAAAAAAATTATAAATAATGTCGATATTTATGGAGCAATCCATATTAGACCTACATAAATACTTGATCACGTCCACTTTCTCCATCAAATCTTATGAGTAGGATTTTATTACGTGTTACGTATGGAAAATTATGTTATTTAATGCAAGTCAAAATGACTAATTTGACATGTAGAATATGAGCAAATACTACATTCTAAGTGATTATTAATCGAATTAGATAATATGTGACTTTCCTTGCCTTATTGGAATTGTAATGTAGGGTCAATTTTATCCAAGGTACTGTAATGTAGCAACACTTAAACATTGTACCCCATAAAAGATTTTGTTCAAAATATGGTTAAAATTAGTATGTCAATAAAATATTTGAAGTATATATCTAATGGCAATTCACTAGTCAACGTATTATTCGATCTTTGGTTTGCATATACCAATCTACTTTACATACCTAAAACCTTTGATGGTGTTACTAGCCAGATTTAGGATTAATTATCGTCCACATTATGACTAATTTATCATTTTCGATACAATAAATTGTAGGCCATGTTTGGCAATTATTTGGAAAAACAAAAAATGACAATTGCAATTTTGTGAGTATGTCCCTGTTCACTTCACCTTATTTTTGCTGAACATAAATTATTTTTACCGAATTGAAATTTTTATTGCTGAACTGAAATAATTTTTACTGATTTTCTATTATATTTCTTCTTTATAATCACCAAATTTTACTGAACTGAACTTATTTTTACTGAAATGAAATTATTTTTACTGAACTGAAATTATTTTTACTGAATTTAATTATTATTACTAAATTAAAATTAATTTTACTTAATATATAATTTTTTTAAGGAGAAAGAACAGGGTCTATGTCATATCATATGGTCGTACATCTTATTCATATTATGACTAAATTATGATATTTTGGGTGTAATTTTCGAACAATATCCTAGCCTATAAATAAAATGTCTATGGCAGCGCACAACTTTTAACACAAAAGAGGACAGAGCAGTACACACCTCGAAATTATTATTAGGCAGTAATTCCACTTCAAATATGTTTTTTTTCATGTTGCTTCTGCTTGCACATTTCAGCGCAGCTACTGATGTTTGCGCACCAAACACACCTCCTCAAGAAGGTTAGCATTTTCACTCATTTCTTCTTTTCTGTATAACTCCATTTTTTGAGTTTATTGCTTCATTGCTTCTCATCTTCTTATATATTAGGTCTTGTATGTATATGTACAACAACAAGACCCTAACTTAGCTTGTATGTAATTAACTAATTATATAAGTAACAAACAAGTATGGTGAAATACTGGAGATGGTGGAAAACTCATTTTGTGACTTTGGGATCACGAGTTCAAGCCCTACCACGTACTTGAGAGTAGGGGATTTCCTTAACTCCTCCCTAATCTCATCAGGTGTTAAACTCAGCTCCTCTCTACTCTCAATTGTTGACTTGTAGTTTATATTCCATGGGCAAAGTGAGTTTTGATCATATCATGGGGGTTTGTCTCTGCATGCATGTAGTCTAACATAGCTATTGACACATTGACATGCATCAATCCAAATTCAAATAAACTTTTCATTAATATTCATCCAAAGAGAATCGAAGCATATACAAGTCCAATATGATTTCATACTGGATGAATAAATCTTCACTAGGCAAGAACAACCCAGATCGATTGGAGGAGAGTCTGACTCCATGTAAGCTCAGCAAAGTTCTATCCTATAACCAATTGTTGATATGTGCCCAATAAACTTGTATGTTAGTCTTTCCTCTTCACTTTCATACATGTGGGACAATTAGTCTCAACTCGTGTGTACGTATTTTCTTAACATAGACGTTATTCTCAACTCATACACAGGTTATATATATTATCTAGTATTTGTCTATTGTGATGTATATACTCATACATTGGCAAGTTGCTCTTATCTTGTCTTTAATAATTTAAAAAGGTAGTGCAATTATAACATGCATCTATCATAAAAAGATTGGGGACATTTCAATGAAATGTTTTTATTATTCATTTATAAATTAAATATATTATAATCCAAATTTGAAACGTTATTGTCCTTAAGACTTTTTCAACTTTGTTGAAAGAGATGTACCAATGTATAGCTAGTATTCTAAAGGAAATTTCAGATCATATAAGACTATTCTAAATTTATAACAAAATTCCTATATATATGCACTTTATATTTAGTTTCTTATCAAAGGGATTACAGTCCCTGGTGTAAAATTCATGAATCTAATGTGTACCAAAATTCTGTTTTGTCTGCTATTTGACTGTAATTATCATTGTAAACAAGTCATGTAAGAATAAGACGTTGAAACCTAAGTGTAAAGGTTGAGACAGTGTAATAACTAATTCTAGATCGAAAGAGGACTATAAGTTAGTTTGAATCCTGTTTCACTGTACCCTCGTATGAACATATGAAGATAGTTAATGAGCTTAAGACGTCGCAAAATTCTTATTTTTCTCCTCTTTAACCTGTCATATCCCCTATAAACTTACTGTAAGCTATAAGCCATTTAAGAATAGTGTCTGGTGAGAAAAGATAAAAGTTTATCAATTAGTCAATTACTATTAGTAAATTGGTAAATGAACCAGTGTTTTGACCCTGCTGCGATTTCTGAATGCTGTAACAGCAGATGTCAAGAACTAGTGCAGCAAAAACATATCTATCCATACAACAGTGAAATTTAATCTTGATTATGCAGCATGTAAAACATACAGGTCTATAAGTATTTATTACAACTTTGTACAATTTAAGAGGTTGTATTTAGTGGTAGGATTCTTACATATGCAATGTATATTAGTGCATGATGCTCGAAAAAAGAGTCCTACATACATAGTCATGGAATTTCATACATACTCATGGACAGAAGAAAGAGTCCTACATACAAAGATTGAAAGATGAATTATGCTTTGATAAGGCCTTGTGTGGTTAAGTAGTTGTAAGTTGATACATACAAGGACTAACACAGGCCGTAATGGACAGGGAGGTATGTCCAACTTTCTATACTCTTATCTTAAGCTCAGCATGTTGAATAGTATGTTACTCCGTATTATATGCAGTGATTGCACTCCTGGAAGTTGCTAAAGAATTGAAGAAGCCTGACATGAATAACTGTACAAAGGATCCTTGTGACAAAAACAACACCTGCTGGTTTACAGAAGTTGATCCGAGCAGGCATAGTTATGTCAACCAAGTATCTTGTTCATGCATTGGCGGTGTAACACATGTGACAAACATGTAAGAGCAATTATAAGATACTTAATTAGTGTCTTTCTGATCTACTTTTCCATAAGAAACACGAGACTTGTGCATCTTCTTTATTTACCTTACACCAAGATTTTCTTTGATGTAAAACAGTTCATGGAAGGGCCAGAGTCTTAGCGGTGTCCTTCCAAGATCTCTTGCAAATTTGTCTTACATTACAACCTTGTAGGAAGACTCCCTCAGTTACACTTTTGTAAGTTCTTTTGCATAATGAATGATGATACTTATATATGACAATAATCTATTCCTTGTATATTGTTAGAGACCTTTCACGGAGTCTCCTTACTGGAACTATCCCACGAGAATGGACAGCTACAAAGTTGAAATTCTTGTAAGAAACTGGCCATATTAATTTTCATGTTCCAATAATGTTTCTGTGTGCTTGAATTCTGATATGCAAAAGGGATGTTGTCTGTTATTGCAGGTCTCTTTTTGCAAATCGCTTGTCAGGACCTATTCCAGATTACTTGGGAAATATTAGCTCCCTGACATATTTGTATGCTATCCTCACTTTTAGTTCCCTGTTCACCACATAATAAACAAGGTTGTGCATGTTTCTTACTACATTTCATTTCTTTATTTTCTGAACACGCGACACCAAATTATTCAGAAGCCTTGAGAGTAATCAATTCAATGGAACTATTCCTCCTGAACTTGGAAAACTGTTCAACTTGAGCAACCTGTAGGTCAAATATCGACTTATTAAGATATAGTTAAGATATATTTTGTGGCATTTACTCTATGCTAATACTAGCTACTAAATTTCTTTTGTGTTCTTTGAACTTGCATGTACTCTTGGATGGAAGAACTCTAACTGACAATGCACTTACAGGGTCCTTGCCTGTCGAGTTAAAGAACCTAAATAATTTAACAGAACTGTAAGTATACACTGTCAATTGAGATTAAACTCTTATTTCCTTAATTTGATACTTGATCTCCTTTACCATATAACTTATTGTGGACTAACTCATTTTCAGCCTTATAAGTCTAATTTCCCATGTGTTTTTAGTCGATTAAGCAGTAACAACTTCAGCGGGCGCTTGCCTGATTTTTTTCAGAGTTGGACAAAACTCCAAGCCCTGTAAGTTTGTTTGTTGAGAACACTAACTCTGCGTATGTTCCAGAAATGACTCTGATCCATCTAAATTATTCTGTTTTCAGAGAAATTCAAGGTAGTGGCTTTGAAGGGCCCATACCACCTACTATTTCTCTTCTGATTAATTTACAGGAACTGTAAGTTATCTACATATCCCTATTTATAGCTTTCTTATACTTCCAAATACTTTACTATGTTACTCTATTAGTCACATAGTAAAGTATTTTTCACATATTTGTCTGCAGGAGAATCACTGATTTGAATGGAGATGGTTCTAAGTTTCCACCATTTGAAACTTTGAATGAATTGAATATATTGTGAGTCATTTTTCTTCACATATATACAGAACTAATTCAGAAAATTGAAAAATAAAATAATATTGGACACAGTATCTTGAGCAAGTACTTTATATTTTCACAGGGTTTTAAGGAGCTGTAACATTACTGGAGTTATCCCTTCATACATCGGACGCATTATGCCACAATTGGTCCAACTGTAGTTCAACTTCCTTTCTTTTTCTTTGTATATACTTCTATGCATCTACTGATTACTTCTCTGCATTTTAAATATAATTTTTACATTCTTTGTTGCCATCTTGCAGGGATCTTAGCTTCAACAAGTTAACAGGCGCCGTTCCAGATAGTTTCCGATATTTGTACTCATTGCAAAAACTGTAAGCAACTAATCTCACATGACTGCACAACTAAAAATATCTAGAAACCTCTTCTACAGCCTAGAAAATGCGCAAGTTATTTGACAATATTTTCAGCCTAGCTAGAACAAGCTTAATTTCAGTAAAGTTTAGTCCACCATATTTTATATGATCCTGTATAAATTTTTCCTCGAGTGTATTTTTATTTATGGAGCATTATCTGACTGTCAATTGTCGCTTATGTTTAGGTTTCTGACAAGCAATATGTTAACTGGAACCATTCCCAGCTCGATCACTGACACAGATGACAGTAGGTTTGGGCTTACAACCTTAATGTCACAAATTATTCTTAGATTTAGTTGTGATAGATGCTTTTGTACTTTGGACTCTAATTTTATTTTATTTTATTTTTTCCTTTCAGCCATATAGACCTTTCTTACAACAATTTTAATGTTAGCTCTATACCTTCTCATTGTGATAAATCAACTCTGTAAGTGTACATTAATATCTACATGAATACATCGTCTTGAATATTTTATAACCCTTTTCAGTATTCTCCATTAGTTGAAAACTGATTCATTCTTTCCTTCCTTTCTATTCAGAAACTTGTACAGAAGCAATGCAAGGGACTTTAGAACGAACTTGTAAGTAGATGATTTTGTCATTTTTTTTCAATTTGTTTAACATGTATAATACAAGTTTGCTGAAACTGATGCATGAGTTATGATTTATGATTTCTCTTCGGTTGCTGAAAATCACAAAAGAGATACAAGCGCATGCCTAACAAACTTGAAATGTTCTAAAGGTAAATGATCTTTTAGTCGCGTCCTTGTTATCTTGAGCTATATAGGAAAAGCATGTGATACCTTAAAATGTGTTTGAACACTAGTTTGGCCATAATATCTATGCACCTATCCTGATCTGTCAATAATATACTTATTTGTTTTCGTGTGGTTGGAGCAAGGATGACAAAAGGCTAGCTTGAGGATTTTAATTAGCATCCTCATTATTCTGATGATAGTTTTCTCATTGTGAAGCTCGGTACTCATTGCATATCAACTGTGGAGGAGAAGAAGCTAGGATTGGAAAAAATACCTTTGAACAAGATAATGAGTCTGATGGTGCTGCTAAATTTGTTCCGAGAAAAGCAGAGTGGGGATACAGCAGTAGCGGAGACTTCAGGAATCGTAGACTTCCTACTGATCTTTATATAGCAGAAAATAAATCTACTCTACAGATGAATGATGCAGAGCTTTATAAAGATGCAAGACTTGCTGCTACATCTCTCACTTATTATGGTCGTTGCCTGGCTAAAGGGAACTACACTGTGACACTATACTTCTCTGAGATCGTCTTTGCTGACGACAGTTCGTTTGTGAGTCTTGGGAGACGGTTTTTTGATATTTATATCCAGGTTTCTATATTACTACTTCGTATTATGAATACATAATTACTAGTACTTTTGATCATTAAGGAGTATTATTAACTACTTACAAGTATTCCTGTTCAAGAGCATATCATAGACATGAATTTTGGTGCAGGAGAAGTTGGTTGCCAAGGACTTTAATATAGAGAAGGAAGCGAATGGAACGAGTAAGGCATTCAATAAATCTTTTCCACATGTAGCCGTAACCAACTATGTAGAAATTCGCTTCTACTACGCAGGGAAAGGGAGCTGGCAGATCCCGGTAAGAGGCAATTATGGTCCTCTTATCTCGGCTATTTCAGTGGAGTCAGGTGAAAATATATGCATGCACACATTGGGATTTCTTTTGATTAAAATAATGCTAATATCATTTTCTTCATTCTGTCTGTCTTAATCTAAATATTTAAGCTGTTTGTCGTGCCATTTCTTATAGAGTTCAACCCTCCTTTTAATTGGAAAATTCTCTTATGGATATTTACTGGGGCTACACTGTGTGTAATCAGTATTGTTCTTGGTATACTTTGGTGGAAACGCCGTATGGAATTAATAGCATCAAGGGAACAAGGTAAGTACATGTGTTGTCCGAAGAAGACTTGCCATTTCATTGTGTGTGTGTTTAATTTCTTCCCTTTTGAGAATCTGCTGCTAACTAACTTTGTTTTATTCAAGCTTTTCTGTTAAATATGGCTATTACCATAACATTATATAACTATTTGTATTCAATAGATTATCATAAATTGTGAAAAAATTAATTGACATTTTTTTCTTGATCAGATCTCCTAGGACAAAATCCACAAATAGGTTTATTCACTTACAAACAAATCAAGACTGCTTGTAATAACTTCAGTGCAGCTAACAAGATTGGAGAAGGTGGCTTTGGTTGTGTGTACAAGGTCTATCTGCCTGTTATTCTTTCTTTCTCGCGATAATTTTACTGCTAGAAAATCATTAAGTGTCATGCATTTTTATTCATGGACAACTCTATCAGGACTTGAAAATTAAACCTTGTATTTATGTGCAGGGGAAATTGTTGGATGGTACCAATATTGCTGTGAAACAACTTTCTTCAAGATCATCCCAAGGGAACCGAGAATTTGTAAATGAGATTGGTATTATTTCTACCTTATGCCATCCAAATCTTGTAAGACTGTATGGATGTAGCGTTGATACTAGCCAACTTTTCTTGGTTTATGAATACTTGGAGAACAATGACCTTGGACATGCTTTGTTCGGTAGGTATTTTGTATATTTGATCCTAGCTACATACTGTCTGTATCAATACAAGTCGCGTAACATTGTAAATGAATTATGTTACAGAGGAAGGTGGTTACTTGAGATTCGATTGGCCTACTAGGAAAAGGATTTGTGTAGGCATAGCAAGGGGTCTGGCCTTCCTGCACGACGAATCAACAATAAAAATTGTTCATAGAGATATCAAAGCTACAAATGTTTTGCTTGATCGTGACCTTAACCCAAAAATCTCCGATTTTGGATTGGCAAAGCTCAATGAAGAAGATAATACTCATATCAGCACTAGAATTGCAGGAACAATGTAAGTTGGCTAGACCGTACCATCTCATTATATTACACTATTATGTGACAGAAGGCGGATGTTTGTACTTGGTCTTCGTGTTTTTTCTTTAAACAATATTTATCTGAACTCTTTTAATTTGTTATAATTTCGCCTTATAGAGGATACATGGCTCCAGAATATGCAATGCGGGGTTACTTAACAGAGAAGGCGGATGTTTACAGCTTTGGGGTTGTCGCGTTAGAAATTGTAGCTGGAAGAAGCAACATGAAGTTTCAACCAAGTGGAGATCTTTATTGTCTCCTGGATTTGGTAATTCTTATTTTCTTTTGTTGAGTAACATAGAAATCTTAATACACGCTCTATGTGGAATTATAGTGATTTAAACTTTTAGCGTGAGAACTAAATCTAGACGAGATAGCATGCATGATGCTATTAGGTAAAAGCAATGTTTTTTAAGTTTTGGTACATGAAAAGTTAAATATATTATAAATTTTACTTCCCAGGCTTTCGTTCTTCAACAAAATGGAAAATTGATAGAGCTGGTGGATCGAAGATTGGAGACAGATTACAATGAAGACGAAGCGTTAAGAATAATTCAGGTTGCATTATTATGCATTAATCCATCTCCGGCGCTTAGGCCAACAATGTCCAAGGCGTTGAGCATGCTTGAAGGAAACATAGAAGTGGAAGAATTAATTCTAGAGCCTAATAACTCATATGGTCATGAGTGGATGTATGGATCATCTAAGAGTTGGCAAAGCCAAACAATCGAAACCGATACCCAAAGCCTATTACACTCTCCTAGTGTACCTATGGTCGAGTTATCGACTTCCTCGTCTCTACGTGATCTTTATCCAGTTGATAATTATTCCTATTAAAGCATACATGGACAACCATGAAGAACATTTTTGCTAAGATTGTGACGAAAACATATTTTATGTCATTCTTCTATAGATTGTGACGAAAACGTATTGTAACACATCTACGGAGAGATAATGTAGGTTCAATATAGATGCAAAGGTACACTATGTCATTTTTTCTCCATAAAATGAAGTATATTGTCTCATTCGATCACACTATCTAATTAAGTTTGAAAAATACTGAAAGAATACTAGTTACCCAAAACAGGAATTCGTGGACTTGGGAGTCGGTGGCATTAAAAGATGAGAAAAAGTAGCTGTAAATTAACAACACACTGTTTGACTGTTTGAAAATAAGCAACAGTCTGAAGTTACGTAAAACTACTACGTACCCTACATAGATTAAAAATAGAATAAGGAGAAATGTCAACCCAACTAGCAGTTTAAAGTCTGTAAACATCAAAGAATTACTCTTTTAAGCGATTATCTAGCGTGAAATGTTATCACATACGTTTAATTTCTCAATATTATAGTTTTCCTTCGAGGAAGGATCCTGACTTCTGAGTCCTGACATTGGATGGATATGGCTCATGACATTCAGTATCCTTACATATTAGATAGGGAATTAGGGATTAAGTCACTTTGGATTTGGTCGAGTTATTTTTTAATCATGTCAATTTTTGACAATACTATTTACAGCTACAAATAAAATTTTGTTATAACTTTGTTCGTATTTATATATATATATTTCTTGCATTTACTTTTAGTTGCAACAATTTGATTAGAACGTTCTCATATTTAGTCTATTCTTGCTAGGTTTGATTTCATAATGATACTCTATAGTCTGTACTAAACAATGGAGATCAAGATACTTAAATGTGGAATATTAATACGAGTATTTAATTAAATCTTACACGTGGTTTGGTTTATACAAAAGTACTTTTCCATTCTGCAAACTTTTTTTAAGCTAAACTTGGTTACAACTCTTACAAGTAATTAATTAATTCAAATCCTTTAATTATTTTACTTATTGTTAATTAAGTTATTTTAGTTAATTTGGCTGTAAATTTTTTCTAATTTCTAAACTAGTAATTATTACAGCGAGACAAATTCATGCTCTATTATAAGCTAAAGAACCAAAAAAAAAAAAAAAATATTGTGTGCACAACCGACGCCCAAAACTGTCATACGTCACACACAATCAGAGCCCGAAACCAGGCCATATTGGGGCCAATCGGTCCTAGCGGAGTGGCGGTTGTACGGGGTGCGTGCCAATTTTGGACATTGGTTCCTGGCTACGTACATGCCTTTATTTTATTTTAAATTTATACCTAATTATTATTAATGTGCATTTATTTGGAATGAGTAAGGGTATAATGGTCTCTTCATATATAATGTTGACGTTTTGATCAATTTTGTTGGTAGTGTTTAGCGATTCACTTTTTTCAAAGGTTCTTTTGGATAGAATTGGTATTGAAAAGACCCTTTATAATAAATTTTCCCAAATTAAAACTAGTACCAACCTAACTACTCGTAATAACAACAAAGTCCCTCGGGCTTGGATTGCTCTGACTCAATGATTAGCTACTCGGGCTCACCATCACCCTGGATGCTTTTATAATTTGTGGTTAAGTTGTTTTGAGCTCTTAAGGGGTGTTTGGTATGTAGGAATTTGGGGTGAGAATGGGAGTTTTAGTGTTAAGTAGAAGGAACTCAAATGTTTGTTTCATGCGATTAGGAAAAGAGGTTGGGAATGGACATTGGAAAAATATGCCCTCTACTCCCAACAAAATAATACCAGGTGGGCAAGTATTAGAGATAGTCGGTCTTGTATGTGGCTACTTATAAAATAACAAAGTAATTCTTATAACACTGACTAAATAACCTCTGTAATACTGATCTAGTAACCCTTATAATCGACCAAGTAACCATATAACACTAACAAAATAATTCCTTTAACACTAAGTAACCCCTATAACACTAACAAAGTAAAGTAACTCCTATGATATATAGCTGGCCACACCGTGTGACCAACCACATATAAGAATTTGTGCTAGAAGATTGGAATTGGAAATGGTGAAAAATTATTAAAATGCCTTTAATGAATAGGTAAGAAAAGAAATTTAAGTACGGATAAATTTGTAAATTTATACTTTGAAATATATTCCTTACATATTAGTATCATTTACTATCAAACAGGAATTGGTTTTATTTTTAAAAATTCACAAAAATATATTCCCAACACAAATTCTTGATTAAGACGGATTTTCATTAACTTATTGGAAGATGGGTTAAACTTACTTTATATACTGCAAAAGTTGTCATTTTCCTAACATAAACTTAAAATGCATTACATTAATCATATTAAGCCTTTATACAATGTATACATTAGAAATTACACATTAATATATAATCAAACTCCTTACAAACTAAAGTTACACTTAAAGAAAATTGTTAAACTTACCCTTAAACTGACCGTTTTACAATAAAATTAACGTAAGCTTGCCTTATACATAACTTACAATCATCCTAATTCCACCATTTATTCTCCAAACTCTCATTCCCACACATCAATCGCCCCGTTTTTGTAAAAAAAAAAAAATAAAAAAAAATAAACTACCTGTAATAAACTAATAATAACCCCACTTGAAATTAATTGTGCTTGAAATTGATCCATTTTCCATAATAATCTAACGCAGCTCAATTCAATTGACTCGATTGTCGGTTTTATTACATCCATAAATTTACATCAAATGAATTATTTTTTTCTATTCTAAAGTCACATCTCACAGTAAAACGGAGGAGAAAAAGAGAAAAGTAAAGACTTGACTTTTGCCTGCACTTCAAAGTCTGCAATTACTACTATAAATTAAAGCCTTTTAGAAGCATAAAAATGATCAAATTAGCGCAATCCAAAAAAAAAAAAAAAAAAAAAAACTTATTCTTCGTAGTATAAGCTACTGTGCAAATGGCAGCTAGTTTGAGTTTCAGCGGTTTCACTGCCGCTGTTGTTTTACTAGCGTTTTTTGTGGGTTTTGGCGTTTGCAGTAATTGCTCTTCCACTCCTACTGAAGAAGGTTAGCTGTTTAATTCTTGTTCTTTTAAGGTACTCTTTCTGTTTCTTCCATTCTATGTACCTTGATTTGTTGTGTAAATTAGTATGTACCCGCGCATTAGCACGGAATATATTATTATTTGATCCGTCATTTATCTACATGCCTTTATTTCTTTTTGAATTTTAAAATTACATGCATATTTCTATTTAAAGAATGGACTTTTTGATTATATTTAAAGTTGTCATCAATTTTTATTTGTTTTTAATATTTTTGTACTTTTAACATCTTTTTTCAACACTTTTTCTCTCCTATTTTTAATAATTACCAACTATCTTTTTCTTCTCTCTATCTCTCTAACCCCACATGTACATTTTTACTTCCCTGTCATGGGGTTTAAGAAATCTTTAAGTTTCTTATTTTCACGAAAAATAAGAAATAAGCATGTAGATAAGAAACGGAGGGAGTAGCAAATAAAGATAGTTGAAAGGTTTTGAGATTTGAATGTTTGTGAGATGTGGTTAAACGTGTTAAAAACAACTTTTATAGTCGGAATAGTCTATATTATTATAGTACTTTGTTAAATTTTGATACAATATAAAATGGGTTTGGGCAACCCGAACAAGTAGGAGGAGAGTTTGGTCCACAAACAAGATTAAGGAGAATTCATACTAAAACCAATTGGCAATAGTAGGAGTAACTCCTCTGCCTAATAAAGTGGAATCATCTCTCCTCTTTCTCCAATGTGAGACACTCACAAGTAGACTATAATGAATTTCAACATACTTTGTATTTGATGGGAGTGTTGTGCTACCCAAACGTTTCATAACGTCTTAATTAGACGGAAAACGTTACTGGGTAGTGTAGTGCTACCCAAATGTTTCATAACTTGCTGATAGTTCTAAAAAATAAAGGTAAAGGTAGTTCTTCACAGTACTTCTCGACAAAATTTCCTTAATTGTAAGATAAGGTCAATAAAATTGCTTCTCTTTGACCCCTTTTGTTTTGAGGCTAATACATGTAAAAATTTGTAGTTGTGAATTGAGCTTAGGTACTCCTTTGGATCACCATTCACTAACTTCTCTCATGATCACAAAGTGATGTATATATAACTTGTTTGGTGTGTGCAGTGGAAAGTCTTCATCAAATTGCAAGAGAAGTGCGAAAACATAACTCAGATTGCTCAACAGATCCTTGTAGCCAGAGCAGAAGTGATACTTGCTGGAATTCAAAAGAGGACCAGGATGAGAAGTATACCAATTTGGTAAATTGCACATGCCGTGATGGCATATGGCATATCACAGATATGTAAGTTGCTCAAACATACAAGTTGCTTGCTTAGGATTTGGCACTTAATACGAAGATTTATTTATTTATTTATTCATTTTGATAATTTTGTGTTAGTTCTGCATTCTAGCAATTATAATATCCTTTGTTTCTTAATTCGGATAGTAGCTTTATTCAAGGTATACCTTAACATTAGCCATGCCATATCCTCTGGTGGTACTTGACATTAAAAAAAAAAAAAAAAAAAAAAAAACCCGCAATAAATGGTTATTATGATTTTATGTGTTCTATTCAGCTTGATTTTATAAGTACATATTTAGTTTAAATAAGTTCTATTATTACAGAGCGACTAAGTCGTGTTTTTGGAGAAACTTGGCTCGCGTTTTTTTATACTAGAGAGCTTATGATGTGATGCAAAATTATAGAAGCTTAGACAGAAAATAAAAGCGGAAACTTGGTTAGAATTGGTGTGGATCACCAAGAACCGGAGTGGGATCTCACTAAGGTGTTACGAGGTTTTAAACCCAAGAAACTATAAGGGAAAAAGGTAGGATCCTTGAATGGATCTCTTTGGAGGAAGATTCATAAACCTTGATTGGATTTAAAAGATCATAAGGGATGAGCCATAATGACTAATCCATATCATGGCCTCATCTCTTAAAATCAATAAAGTTGACCCTTGTGCATTGATCTTTTTTCCATGTGTCACAATACACTATCCTAAGGATTCCAAACCTACTCCAAGCATCTAAGGCCATGGCTTTAAGTGCTCCAAAAATGCTTTTAATCCTTTCTAAAGAAGATTATATCCAATCGACCCATGAGTATGTTATCTGAGTGAACAAGCTTTCTGACTTAAAGAATCTCTTCTTCCGAAGGAAAATATGTTTAAGATAGAGAAATAGAAATACTCCGTAAATACAACCTGCAATCAACTCTGTACTTAATGTACCAATTATTCTATGATTTTCGTAGATGACATAGTCTAACTTAAAGCTTATTTCTTGCATAAAGTTACTGGAAGGGGCAAAACCTTGCTGGTGTCCTTCCGAAATCCCTCTCCAAGCTGCGTTACATTAAGACCATGTAAGACCAGCCCCCTGTGATTTTTTTTTTTTTGTTTTTGTTTTGTGCATATATGGTCATTGATACTTCAGGAAGCCATTAACTTGTCCCCCTTATTTTGTTTTAATCAGTGATCTCTCGAGGAATGTCCTTACTGGAACAGTGCCAGTTGAATGGATTGATACAAAGCTGGAATTTGTGTAAGAAAACATGTATTTCCTTTTCACATGTATTCATATTTTCTTAATGTCTTGTTTTTGCAATCTATTTTATTTACAGGTCTCTATTTGCCAATCGACTATCAGGACCAATTCCAAAGTATTTGGGAAAAATCACCACTCTTACACAGCTGTATCCTCCTTGTTCTCCCTATTGCCCTCTTTAAGTGAAAGCACAAACATGTAGCATATATATCTTACCTGATTCTCAAATTGTGTATGAACATCAGAAGCATTGAGAGCAATCAATTTAATGGAACTGTTCCTGCTGAACTTGGGAACTTGATCAGCTTAACCAACTTGTGGGTACCTTTTTCGTTTTTCTTTTTTCAGTGATAGGCCACATTTATTCATTCTAAATTTTCATCTGTTACATGAGCATTAACACCGGAACTTGTGTCTCTTCCCTTGTTGATGAAAGAACATTAAGTGACAACAAACTTACAGGGCATTTGCCTTTGGAGTTGAAGAATCTGAGCAATTTAACAAAACTGTAAGTAGTTTTTATATTGGAGAGTTTAACTATATGCATAAAGCTTTTGTACATATTTATCTGTCTCCTCTTTTTCAATCATTTCTTTTTCTGGTGTAATTGCTAGTCAATTAGGTAGCAACAACTTCAATGGAAGCTTACCTGATTTCATAAAGCATTATTCAGAACTTCAATACTTGTAAGTTGTCTTCCTTGAAAATCTGAATGATGCAAAATTGTTCCAATCATGGTTTTGATCCGTCAGTGTCACCGTGGACACACCGCAGATATATGATAGGCAGTGGCTTTGAGGGGCCGATACCATCTGACATAGCTACTCTGCACAAACTAAAAGAATTGTAAGTAATTCTACTTTATGTATGTTTCTCATATTTTTTATAATGAATACTTTTCTTAAAGGAGTTCAACATTCTCCAATTTCTCCTCTACTGTATGTGTTCCTTGATGTGCTGCATGATTGCCTCACTTCTTATTTACTTATTTTTAGAGGACTCTTTGTTCTCCTTTTATATGTATACTTCTTTTCTCAAATAAAGAATTTTTTTTTAGAAGATAGAGTAAAACAAACCTTTCTAATACTGTAAGATGAAGCCCATATTTTTGAATAAAATTACCTTTCTTTGAACATGATGACAATATTGATGTGAATAATTTCTTTCTAATGATCTTGTCAAGATAAAATCTAGCTTATTATCTATGCTTCAATGGACAGATAGAATGGCAGTATTGATTTCTTGTACTTCTTCTGCAGGAGAATCAGTGATTTGGGCGGAGAAGGTTCTAATTTTCCATCACTACAAAATATGGGAGACTTAAATATACTGTGAGTCATGTTTTGTTATTTTTATTGAAATAAAAACTCAAGGAGCAAAAGTAGTTTTTGCACAACTTAAATATTAACCTAAGCAAGTAATTTGTTTTGTGATAGGATTTTGAGGAGCTGTAATATTACTGGTGAAATACCCCAAGATATTGTTATCTTGAAGAAATTAAAATTCATGTATAATTTTCCATTCCACACTTCTTATATGGCTATTATGATCGTACATATAAACGTATCCTTGTTTCTGAAGTTTTTTTTTTTTGTTCATTTATTGTGTTATTTTGCAGCGATCTTAGCTTCAACAGGTTGACAGGCTCTGTTCCAACTCTCCTTCAGATAGAACACTTGTAAGCACTCCCAAAGTCCCAATCAATCTTACACAATTTCTGATCTCGATCATCCCATTATCATTTAATTTTATAAAGGAAAGATGATAAGATTCTTGATGAATCTACTATACTTCTACAGAATTCTAACAATCTGAAATAGGTGTAGAGCTTAGAAGATGTAATAACAACAAACTGCAGCACCTAACTATCGTGGCTGTTCAGTTGGCATTATATGATCATAACCGCATTTGTCTCAACTGCCCTTGAATACCCACTTTAGTGTTAGAACCCTTAAAATGTAAAGGGTAGGTGCAAGGAAATAGAGCATAGAACTAGTTCAGCAACAGATGTACCTATCCAGTCCTTTTGCGGTAACAAATTGTGGTGATGCTAACGAGTTATATGACAATTAATAAGAAAAGTCGTTTTCAATGTCCATGGTTATTGTATTTTCCACCCCTAGGTACCATCTTTAAAGTGATACTGAGTGGTAATGATTTAAATACATGAAAGTCAAGGATGGAGGTATGTTACCATGAACAATTGGACACTGTCATAGACTCATTTTGAAAAAAATACAAAATTATGACCATTACGCCATTGATTCCTACACTACCGAAAGGGTTGTTTGACCTGAAAACCAAAAGATGGGAACTGTGATTTCTCTCTTTGACTTGGCTGTATACGTTGTGAGCTTCGTGTTCTTGGAATCTTGTCAATCATTGTTTGGTGGTAACTTCTTCGAGCCTACACTTATTTGCAGCATAAGTCTGGCTTCTGTCAAGGGAAGCAGAAATGAATCGGTTGTAAGATTTTCTTTTGGCAAGTAATGATGATTCCATTTTTTTTCTGTCAGGTATCTAACTGGAAATATGCTAAATGGACCTATTCCCAACTGGATTGCAAATGCAGTGGATACTACGTATGATCTTTACCCTAAATTAGTATGCCCTCTGTCCACAAATAATCTTCCGTGTTCCTATTTAAATTTTACACTCAACCCATGTGATATAGATCCCTCCATTAACCTTTTTCTTTTCTCACTATTTCACCACACCCTACTAAATTCTGTAATATTTGTGGACGGAGGGAGTATAACCAAAACCTTTTAATTTTAGACATGATTTCTGTTTGATCATATGTTGGTACCTAATTCCTTAGAGGATTAAAACAGAGCAATTTGGTAAAAGACCTAGAAAACTTGTAATACATTATAAGGGAGTTGGATTATAACACTTAGACATGTCTAAAAGAGATCTTGAATGGAGCAAGAACTTGTTTAACGTTACCAAGATTTTTTGAAGATCGAATGTACTTCCTTCATTTTCAAAAAATTGTAACAATCCTTTTGACATGTTTAATCATTAAGAAAGGAGAGATATAAAAAGAGATCGTAATATCTACCCATGTGAAGTGGATAGAAAGAGAGAAATGAACCACTTAACAGGAAAGGAATGTTAAATTAATATCAAAGCAGACCGAAAAGGAAAGTGTTAAAGATGTTTGGAGACAGAGGAATAGCTTTCTAGATTAAGTGATGTCTGCAACATGGTTTTGTCACTCAAGTTATGAATTTTCATGAGTTTCTGCTAGGAGTAGAAATGCTGGCCAACATTATATGATGCTCATTTGTTCATGCTAATTTTGTTACTATTTTGAGCAAATAAATATTCTCCTAATGATATAACAATTGTGCTTTCAGCCACATAGACATTTCGTACAATAATTTTACTGATGACCTTAAAGAACCTCTTTGTGGCAAAAATACTATGTAAGTTTTATGCAGTTTATTCTGCTGCAATTTCATATCTTCATCTCGCACTTAATCCTTAGCTTAATAAGATACACTCTCTTCTTTTCTTTTCTTCAGAAACTCGTACAGGAGCAATGCAAGGCTTACGCCCTTGTAAGTTTAAGATATTGTTTAAATAGATTGGTATACATTCTTTGTCCAGTTCTTGACTATTGATATCCTTAATGACAATTGACATAGAGATTCAAGTGCATGCTTGAAGAGCTTAAGATGTCCAAAAGGTATATACTCTATTTGATTTATAGCAAAGGCTATTTTTTTACACATTGTTTGGATTGAGAGGATTGGAGGAAAAGGAAGAGAAGAAAAAGAAGGGATTGGATACCTTTTGGTAGGGCTATTCGCGGTGGGGTTTGGATCCCAAACCGCACTTATAACCAAACCGCACCGCAAAATGCGGTTGTTTGGTGCTGTGCGGTTTGCGATTTAACCACACTTTTTTAAAATTAGAAATATCTTTTTTTAAAAAAACTTTTACTTGATTTTGTAATTATAAACTTATAATTTGAATGTTGAACTCTTTTTTTTAACCTTAAATTACTTAATTATCAAAGATTACATCATATTTTTAAGTTCTTTTATATATTTTTTCATAAAAATGGTTTAAAGGTTTGCGGTTTACCGGTGTAAACCGCAAACCGTATCAATGTGCGGTTTGGTCTAAAAGTTTTTGGAAACCGCACCAAATCGTAAAATTGCAGTTTGGTTTGCGGTTTGGTGCAGTCTAGACCGCATTCTGAATAGCCCTACCTTTTGGTAGGAGGGAAGGGAAGGGAAGGGAAATGGAAGGATTCATTTTCCCTCCCTCTTTAATAAACCAAATCCTTCCAATGTTGGAAAGTTTTTGGAGGGAAAATGTAACCTTACCTTCTCCCTCCCCTTCCATTCCTCCCCTTTCCTTCTTCTTCCCTCCTTCCCTTTCTCTTCCACTTTTCTATCCAAACAAAGCATAAGAGTACTGTCGGCTTCTTCATTAGTCTTACACTATTTTTGGCTAGCCACATGAAAATTTGTGTTTAAGATCAATGATGCTAAATTCTACATAACTTTTTTTTAAAAAAAAAATCTTGTATATGGTCAAGGTTTTATTTACATGTATTGTTGTACTTGTGAAGCTCGGTATAAATTGCATATTAACTGCGGGGGACCAGAAACCAGAATAGGAAAGGTCACCTATCAGCAAGATTATGAGAAAAATGGTGCAGCAACATTTTTTTATAAGCCTGACTGGGGATTCAGTAGTAGTGGAGAATTCTGGAAACCTGCAAAGCTTACAAATAATTATATAGCGCAAAATACTTCAAAGTTAATAGGAAAGAGTGATGAAGGACTGTATAAAGATGCACGACTCTCTGCTACGTCTCTAACTTACTATGGCCGGTGCCTGGCAAAAGGGAACTACAGTGTGACCCTTTACTTTTCAGAAATCATCTTTACAGATGATGATACATACACGAGTATAGGAAGGCGGGTGTTTGACATTTTTATCCAGGTTGTTTAATACTGTCTTCTTATCTAAGTCCTATTAGTGATCATGAAATTGCTGGAATTTTTAGAAATTTGCATCTAAAGAGTTGGACTACATTGTGCAGGAAAAGCTATATTTCAAGGATTTTGATATTGTAAAGGAAGCTAATGGAACACATAGGGCTTTCAAGAAAGTTTTCAGTAACATATCAGTAACAAATTCATTAGAAATTCGCTTCTACTATGCTGGAAAAGGGAGCACACAAATTCCAGTAAAAGGAAATTATGGTCCTCTTATTTCAGCTATTTCAATAGAGTCGCGTAAGTCCAGCATCATGTAGAAAGTTTATGCTCATTCTAAGTCCTTTTTTAAGGAAACGCTTAATCCTATTGTTTACTCTTACTCATGAAATATATTCATTATTGCATCATTATCATTAATGAAATGAACTGTACTGTAAAATTAGCAAGTACACCTTCTGCAATAAGTTTTCTAATTTTTTGAACTTGGGGCACGACAATATGACATAGATGGATTGGTTAAAATTTGTTTAGGTATCAACCTAATTGTCTAGAAATAAGGTTTTTTTTTTTTTAGGTTCAATTAGCAAGTGTTAATTTTCATCACTTCTTTGTGCAGAGTTCAACCCTCCTTTTGACTGGAAAATAGTCATGCGGGCTCTAGTAGCAGCTACATCGTTCCTTATTGGAATTGCACTAGCTATTTATTGGTGGAAACGCCGTAAGGAAATTATAAAATCAAGGGAACAAGGTCAGTGTGTATTGTGTTATCTGTGGTATAGGAACATTTTGCTTATGTGAGATGTTACAGACTTGTAGTGGCAAGTGTTTCTAACTTACCACTACATTATGTTTATTAGAATTCAACTGATGAACAAGTTAATTTTACTGTTTATTATGCCTTAAATAACCATCTACATCTTATACTTTCAAATCAAATATCTTCAACCACGTAGACAGGGGCACAAAAAATGATTTTGAGCATATAAGAAAATAAGAGCGCTGCAAGTTGCAGATAATCCACCAACATGAACAAAAAAAATTTAGTGATTGTTCAAATTTTTATATTATCAATGTACCACATACTCCACTTCCTATTATCTTAATTACTTGTTGAATTGTACCATTCTGAATACTATTAGTTTGTGCTCAGAGCTCCGTGTACTGAATCCACAAATTGGTCTTTTCACTTATAAGCAAATCAAGGCTGCCTGTAACAACTTTAATATTGCTAATAAGCTAGGAGAAGGTGGGTTTGGATCTGTGTACAAGGTATGTTACTAAGTACTTTGTTTTTGCTTAATGAATTACGGTGTTGGTGTGTAATTATTCAACCCATATTTGTCATGGACAACTTGGGGAGTGAAAAGCACAAAAACTTATACTAACTCTTATGTAGGGAACCTTGTTGGATGGTACCCATATTGCTGTGAAACAACTTTCAGCCAAATCTTCCCAAGGGAATCGAGAATTTGTGAATGAAATTGGTATGATTTCTAGTATGTGCCATCCAAATCTTGTGAGATTGTATGGATGTTGTGTCGATACAAGCCAACTTTTCCTGGTGTATGAATACTTGGTGAACAAGGACCTTGGACATGCTTTGTTTGGTAAGGAGTTATATTGTGTTTATCTCTTTATCCTGTTTGCGTTGCAAGGAGTACAGAATGGAATCAGTTGTAAAGCTGTCCGCGAAGATTTTAACTTATTAGTTATTTTCTAAATGAAGGTCCAGGTGATGGCCGGTTAAAATTAGACTGGCCTATTAGGAAAAGGATTTGCATTGGGATAGCTAAAGGTTTAGCTTTCTTACATGAAGAATCAAGGATAAAAATTGTTCATAGGGACATCAAAGCTACAAACGTATTGCTTGATTGTAACCTTAACCCAAAAATCTCAGACTTTGGGTTGGCAAGGCTTAATGAAGAGGAGGTTACACACATTAGCACTAGAATTGCTGGAACAATGTAAGCTAACTTTTTGAGTCTCTATTGTCTTTATCATAGAGTTCATAAGTGCTCATACTTATGAAAGCCAGTTAAAGTATTTATTATTAGATGGTTGATCTATTTTCTATAATTCATAGTATAACCATCATCTGGTCTCCTGCACTTGTTTCTTGGGATGGCGTACTGTGTAATGATTATCTGGAAATAATAGTAATATATCGGTCAATGAATCAATGAAGATGAGAGGTGAAATCTGATCAAGGGGCAAAGGCAATCGTTGAATTCATTTTTTGAACTAGAATTTTCTTTTGCAGAGGATATATGGCTCCAGAATATGCACTGTGGGGTTATTTGACACCTAAAGCTGATGTTTTCAGCTTTGGGGTTGTTGTATTAGAAGTCGTGGCCGGAAGAAGCAACATGAAATTTGAGCCCAGTGAAGATCACTTTTGCCTCCTTGATTGGGTAAATTTCCCTAGCCATGTACTTTATTTTGCAGGATAATATTCTGCATTCTACATGGAAAAGATATCATTTATATCAATCTTCATAATTTCCAGGCATATGTTCTGAAACAAAAAGGAGAATTAATGGAGCTGATGGATCCGGCATTAGGAACTGATTACAACAAGGAAGAAGCATCATTTATGATTCAGATAGCATTATTATGCACAAATCCGTCTCCAGCACTGAGGCCTACGATGTCTGAGGCACTGAACATGCTTGAAGGAAATACTGCAGTACAAGAACTTATTCTGGAGCCCAATAACTTATATAGTCATGAGTGGATGTATCAGGCATCTAAGAAGCAGCAGCTAAAACAATTATCTGGAACTGAAACACAAAGCTTGATACATTCATCTGATGCACCAAGGATTGACTCGTCTTCCAAGTCTGCACACGATCTTTATCCAGTTGATGCTTGCTCTCATTGAAGCACTCTATGGGTGACCGTGAGGCACAATTTGTGCTTGTGGAGGCCTTTGACTTTGCTCTTGTTTGTGTACGTAAAATACCTTCGAAGTTTGTTTCCTGTCATCTACTCGTATCTAAGAACACGTACTTATTCTTCATCAACAGTTTAAACCTATTGTATTCCTCAACAAATACCAACATGATCCTTGTAATTAAGACATTTCTCTTATGGTATTTTGTACTGGAGAATGTAATTACTTTCAGAACTTTAATGTAATCTCTTTGAAAGATAAATGGAGATAGGTTCGATAATTCATCTATTGACTCCTTGAACAGAAAAAGGTATAATCTAACTTGAGAAATGGCTGAATCTTTAAATTTTGTTTCTTGAAGTATGGTTTCTTAACATGAATCCAGAATACTATGCTTGTACACTAAAGTTAGGTTATTATAGATTGAGAATAATGCATTAAAGGGATAATAAAAGGGTTTTTTTTTTTTTTTTAAATATGGAGACAGGTAAAGGTGGTTGATAGTATACACATAATTGTTTTCTAGAAAAAAAAATAGTAATAATGATATTAATATTGATCAAAAATATTAGATAATAATTTGACCAAGAAACATGCACAATGGTGAATACTTGCACTTTTGTGTGAAATGGTCAAAAGATGGCTTAACAATTAGCAATAAACCCCATTTCCCGCAACAAAGACCATTAATTACCATCAAATTGTTAGAGAAAATTATGCAATAAACACCCCAAAAATAGTTTAACTGTTGTTCAGGATATTTAATTATCACTATAAATACAACTCTAATTTACATTATTGTAAGAAACATCAAATATCTTTATTACTTTAAGTTTCACAATCAACATCTACATCTCTTCTAAACTCATACTTTGCAAACAAAATGGCAAGCAACCAACAAACTCAAGAAATTAGCCACAAAGCCAATGAGGCTGCTACCCAAGCTCAGGTATAAAATTTGTTCTAATTATTTGATCTAGCCTCGTTTTTTTATCGGTTTCACATACATTGCATTATTTTAATTTCATGAGGCCTTAATTATTAATTTTAATCTGATATATATTGCAGGAGAAGAGTGAAGGAGTTATGGCCCAAGTCAGCAGTGCAGCATCAGGAACTGCTCAACAAGCCTCTCAGATTCTTCAACAGGCAAGTCTTTTATAATCCCATTCCGAGTTTTCAAGACAAATTATATCATACTCCCTCCGTTTATTAATAAATGTTCTTATATCATAATGCGATCCCTCTGTCTATAAATAAATATTCTATTACATTTTAAACTTTAAGTGTTTAAGTGATCTAAATAACTAGGCAATATATATACAAGTGCCTTGCTATATTTTTAATATAACTTTGTTGGAAATTTTTGAGCTAATTAAAACTGAATTATCTATATATTACACAGACAGGGGAGCAAGTGAAGAGCCTTGCAACAGGAGCAGCTGAAACAGTAAAGAGCACTTTGGGATTAAACAACACCAGTGATGCAGCAGGCAGCAACCCTACTGCTGGCACCGCGGCCGACACCACCACCACCCCAAGCAATACACCAAGCACCACCCCAAACAATGCACCCAGCAACGCGTCCCCTGCCAATCCAAAGAATTAAATTTCCAATATGGGTTTTGGATTTTGGTTCTAAAATTAGTCCATATACACTCTTTTGTTTCATTTGTAGTTAACTATGCCCAGAATTTGGCAAATAAAAAAAATATGGACTAGGTATGCTTTTTTTATCTTTCTTTATTGCATGAGAATTTTCTCATATATATATATGTAGTTTTTGTTTCCTGAGTCTCAAAAGAGGCTCTCTGAAGGAATTATAAGATTGTACTCAGTTAATTATTTGATTTAAATTAGAATCAAATGATGATAATTCAGAGAAGATTAATCTTTCTTGAGTCTTGAGCTACATGCATGCATTGATCAATCTCCTCTTTCTTTTCTTTCATTTTTTTCTTGTTTATTTATATTGCATATATTTTATGTACTTATTATAGTAAGCGTCATATTTCATGTCCATTTTGCAAAGGAAAGATCAAAATTTAGTGAATGTAATATGAAAAATAGAATTTAAGTAACTAACAAAAGATTTTTTTTTTTTTTTTTTGAGACAAATTAACAAAAGATTGAGTCATGAATTACACATACAATTGCTAATTTTATGTTATGGCTTGAGAGGATTGCCCGAAACCAAAAACTAGTTATTATTTAAAACGGAAAAAAGAGTAAGGGTATTACAAGAAGATCCTCAATACTTTCCTTATAGAACTGAAATTGTTGCAACCCAAACCTTTTGAAGTTGTCTAAACTCCCAGATATTCCTCCTACCTTCTTCTCCCTATTTATCAATAACTTCCTACTGACTATTGTATTCAATTCAGTTTGAATAACATCATAACTAATTTTCAAATCGTCATGTATTTATTATTTAAGTCATAAGTGATTCATTGCACGTATATCATGTGTCATATTCAAGTTAAAAAGAAACGAATGAAGTCATGCATGATGAAAAGCATTATGAATTCTGAAATAATAATTGAACAAGTTGTGTTTGCGTGATTATCTTTCCCATGAATATTTGTTTTGTTTTAAAAGGCATTAATATACCAAGATAATTGACAACAACATATATTGCTTGATTGACTCAATTAAAAAAATAAAAATAAAAATTGCAAAATATTCTCATCTCCATACTTGTTACAAGTACTTTATTTTAATAGGTTTTTCTTTTTTCTCAAGACATAACTGTAAAATTTGTAAAATACTTCTAAAATGGTAAAAACTCCCTGACAAATAACCTTAAAAAAAAGTGCCTCTAAAGTCTAAACCACTATGTATGATTTTTATTTTAATTTTATGGATTTTTAAGTAGTGGTCTTGATTGTGGACGAAAATGCACCAATATTTTTTTCTTCTTATTAAGATAAGGTGGTTGAACAAATATTTGAAAATGACATTTCTAATCAACTTTTCCTTTTGTCAACAAATTAAAAGCTTGCTTAATGATTTAGAACCTTTCAAATCTTCCTTTTTTCTCTCATTGACAACTTCCATAAATTTACACTTAAAAGACACAACAATTAAGCAAACAAAATCACCAACAGCAAAGACAAATTAGAGAAAATTGAAGATGTCAATCCTTGTTACACTACCAGAAGACGTGATTTCAGAGATCCTGCTAAGGCTGCCTGTTAAGTCCCTGCAACGATTCAAATGTGTATCGAAATCATGGAATGCTCGTATTATTGATCCGCGCTTCATGCTCAAGCGCTTCATTAGCTCAAACAATCATGAGTTGCTTCTAATTAGCCACGTTAAACCAGCAAAGAGGCAATTACTTTCATTGATCTCTTCTGAGACTCTTGATATCAAAAATAAGCATTTTCAACTATCTTTTCCTAGCTCAAATGAAGAAAACCGTAGTTTTGCACACATTTTGGGACCTTGTAATGGGATCTTTTGTGTCTTTGATGCTAAAGATGGTGCAATATCACTATGGAATCCTGCAAACCGACAGCTGAAAAACCTTCCGAAGTCTCATGTTAAGCCTCCTCTTGATGCATACACTTTCGACTTGTGTGTTGGTTTTGGGTTTGATGATGAAAGGAATGAGTACAAAGTTTTAGCATTCAAGCACATGTGTTTGCCCTCGTCTTCAACAATAGCTCACGCGGAGCTATACACACTGAGCACCAACAAGTGGAAGGAGGTTGATGTTGGGGAGGAATTTCAGCCAACTGGGAATCTACCTTGCTCGTCTTCAAACCCCTCAGTAGACGGTATTTCCAGCTGGTTTGAGATTGATAACCATGTAGAGAAAGTGATTTTCTCGTTCAACATGAAGAATGAGGTTTTTACAAAGACCCAACTCCCTCAATATAATGGCATCCCTTCAAAGAGAGTACATGGGTGTCTAGCGTCCTTAAAGAACAGCCTAGCTTTCATTCATGATTTCCCTCTTGGAGGAGTAAGTAAAAGTTTTGATGTATGGGTTTTGGGCGAGTATGGTGTTAGAAAGTCTTGGATGAAGCAACTAACTATAGGACCCGTATTGGGGGTAGCAGCACCCTTGGGGTTTTGGAAGAACGGCGAGCTTCTTTTGGAACATGCTGAAAGAAATCTAGTTTCCTATAATCCCGTCACACAAGACATGAAAGATCTTCAAGCTCGCGGGTTTGTTTATATATTGCAAGTTCTTCCATACAAGGAGAGCCTAGTTTGTTTACAGGAAGCAGAAGAAGAGATTAATCACAACAGGGATGTAATTCCTTTCTCTGTCTTTGAATGCGAGGAAGAAAACATTTTACAGATACCGTCTTCATCTAACAGCTTAAACTCTGAAAATAATTCTTCTGCGGTGTAAAAATCCAGCAGGAAATAAGTAGAAGAATGTTAAGGGGAAATCTGTATAGTAATATAGCTTGTATGACCACTATGTATATTTTCAGCTATTATAAGTTATAAAATATGCAATTGTGCATAATGAGTGACCCTGTATTCTATTACTATTCCAAGCACCTTCAACCACCATACTCCTCTCAGCTTCATTCCAAACCGACTTCCAAAACCTTCGAAAACATAATCCTCCTCTCAGCTACACCCCCATCAAAACTGCCGCTATGACCAAAGCACAAACAGACATAATTGACCTGGTGTTCAACACAGCTGCCAAGTAACCTCATGGTCACTGATTCACAAATAGTAGATAAACAATAAAATTGGACCTTTGACAGACAGGTTCGGCAAGGGAAAATATCAGAAAGGAAAAAACAGATAACTAAAAGAGGTTGGAATTAGAGGGTAATTACTGAAAATCCCATAACTTTATTATCACTGAGCTATCATGTTCTATTCTTTTATCACTACTGCATCAACAACAAAAAATGAGAACAAAAATGTAGCCAATCGTATATAACTGTCACTATTAGGAGACAAACATGAGTGACAAGTTCTATAAATTTATCACACTCGAGCAAATAGCTCGAGTAAAAAAGTTATTAAGTCCACACAACATGAAGTACCTATCTATTTCTAAATTAGCATTAAATACGCAGATTAAAGGTGAACAATATGGGGAAATGAACACTTTGATTATACTGAATTCGTCCTAAAAGAAAACTATGACGGTGATTTGAGCACAAGCTGTCAAAGAGGGGTATACGTTTAATGGAACACGGTAATACAAGGCATGACCAGTGCTACTACCACAAACACGGTATCTTCCGCCAATAACCTGGTCTCCACTGGAGCATTGGTACATGAGAAGCATTTGCGGAAATTTTCTTCTTGAATCTGTTATTTTGTTCTGAACAATGCAATGCCCCACTGACGATGCAGTTGGATTAAAAGTGTCTAATATTCCCGTCCTTTGTATGGCATTTCCTACGGAAAAATGACATCATTACATAAGTAGAATTGAGCTTATTTGATGCCAACTATAAAAAGAACATATCACCATCCACAAGCCAAGACAGTGAATGGGACTGACTGACATAGGAACATCTTTCTTATCTTCTACTGAATACAAAATTTATCTAAATAAAGCCATTAACTTACCGCAGGGTAGCCTGGCATGTACATCACTTGCCTGGGATGGCCAAGAATCATCTGTTGTCCATACTGCAGATGGTTAGGACAAATCAGAAATTCATCAAAGTCTCCTACACAAGGAATTTACGCATGACTGCTATTTAGCAGGTATGTAGTAAAAAGCTCACCTGAGGGCCATTTGCAGGAAAATATGCTTGTGGTGATTGCATCCCTGCAGCCTGAGGATTAAAAAGCATTGGCTGAGGCCCAACAAAGGATGGCCCAACCTGTCAGAATATCCAAAAATTAAAAGCGATTAGGGCTCTGATCAAGGCAACTGTACTAAAAGAGTGCAATACATAAAGTATTACTGAAGGAATCCCCCAACCTTATCCAACAACCCCAATAAAAATTCCCAGACTTTTTTCAACCAAAAAATCAGAGAAGATACTTTCTTAGCTTCTTTCAGCAATGGTCAATTATAGTAGGTTATCCAATGTATGGCCATAGTTAAGTTAAACAATGCAGAAACTTATGTGCAACTATACAAGACATGTCTCATGTAATAGCTCATTGTGATAAAATTATACTCCAAAGTAAATTCTTGCATTGATTCTCATTACTGATATAAAGTAGCCTAGCAATAAAAATCATTACGATCAGGCTAATGGGCTACTTAAAATACCGTTGAGCCTCGCCTCATTTTCTAACGATTAATAGTCTCACTCTCACATCAATTATTTCCTCACTAGATACACAACCTCATTACACTATCCCACAGGTGCAGTAGGCAGAGGCAAGGAGTGCAAGATTATTTTACTCCCTCTTTTTATTTGTAAATGCAACACTTTTTGTAATCAGCCGTTATTTTTAAAGCAACACTTCCTTAAATCCTTATATGGAAATACTCACATGGTCCCCACTCCTACCTCACTATTAGTATTTTTCTTCTCACATCCCTTACTTTCACATAAATTATTGGCCAAACTTGAGGCGCATTGTTATATACCATGGACAAAGATGATAAAGTTTGGCTTCAACTGCTCATTCCTTGTTCACCATTCCCAAATTTGATAGACTTTCATACTTGCAGACTATCCAAACAGCTAACAAACAGTTGGACCACCAGCTATCTTTTAAAAAGAGAATATAGCATTCATTCCACCTCATTATTATGCAGACGGGAAAAACAAATAGGGGGCGGGGGGGGGGGGGGTGGTGTAAAATTCAACCTTGTATTTCATTTCGTGACCAATTAGGAGAGAAAGATACCACCTAATATACTCTCGCCAAACACTACTACCATTTTTCAAAATACTGACCCATTTTGCATTTTGGGTTTCTTCAAAATACCCACTTCATTTTCTTTTTAGGATTAAATTCCTAATAAAAAAAATAATGATTAAAACCCTCCACGTCCACTCCTCCTCTCTCCTAAAGGTATATGATTCAACAATTGTTCAATTTTTAACTCCTTTATACACTACACCACCCATCTCATCTAATATAGTGAAAGATTATCAGAGCGGATAGAAGGTATAAACAAGCAGAGGATGGAAAAAAAGAAAAAAAAAATCATGGAATACTTTCCATTAAGCATTTAATCAATTACTCACCCCCATACCAACTGGCATGCCATGCATATGAGGCACTGTAGGCATGCTGGATGGAAAATAGAATGAAGCATCATTAGGGGAAGGTGGCCTTAAAGGACTTGCTGTTGGAACAAAACATTTTGCATTGGGGTTAAATTTGAATTCCTGCAAGTAAAACAAGTAAAAAAAAAACAAAAAAAAATGCATCATTGCATGAATTTGACCAATGTAAAGCATAGGTAATTTGTAGGCAGAAAATGTGATCCACACAAAGCACATTTAGGCAGGCATAAAAAACAAGATACAGAGCATGCACCCAAAAAATGTTTACAGAAAATCAATTTTAAACAAATGAAGAATGTACAGAAACCTTTGCATTGGGATTCAATGTTGATTTTTCGGAGGATAATGAACCCATAGATGAGCTAGGTGATAGGGCGGGACCACTTGAAGCTGTGGTAGCAGCTCCTATCTCCGAAGTAGACGATGCAGAACTCCCTGGTCGTCCTCGAGAATTTGTGGGTTCAGTAAGCACATGTGCTTTGCCAGAGCTATCTTCTATGAGCTCACTAGAACTGGTTTTCTCTACAGGTTTCGTGTTGACATCTGAAGTTGTTGCTGTCAATGAAGACACATTAGTCTTCTCAGAGCCACTTCGCTTCGCATTCCACGATGGTTGTAAATCTACAAATATGCATGTCAATAATGAGTCAGATCTAACATATATAAACAAACTATTAATATTCCATAGGCATTTATAGCTGAAGGACCATCAGATTTGAAGAAAAATCATAAATGAAAAAAGAAATACTCTGGTATATTATATTTTATTATTATTATCTCCTTTATTCTAAGTTTGGCAAACACATTTTACAATCTTACCCTTCACAATATCTACATTTTTTCACTCTCTTACTTATTTCAGCTACTTTTTACACCCTCCCAACTTTTAACTTTATCTCTCTTACTACTTTATCCACCATTTCTAATAATTATTAAGTGTGCCTCACTTCAATGAGGTGCATCAAAGGCGTGCCTAGGTGCAGCAGGCTCCCCAATGCTTTAGTTAACCTTGGGCTTTTATTCTATTGCTTGCACCAAAACAAGCTCCAAACACTCCCAATCACCAACACAGGACACCATAGAATTGAATACCACCCTTCGATAACATTCTCTGTGAAGAATCAAAACCCTTGCAATTATAATACCATCATAACAACCAACGTTAAATTAAAATTCCACAAAAATCACCATAAGGATTCGCATCCATTCATCTTCTTTTAATATTTCACCACTTGAATACTTGCATAACAGGACAAGAGTCGATCCATAATCAGCCTAGGCACTTGAATTTACTTTTGAAAATAAGACTAAACGCACTATATGATTGCAAGTACAAAACTCCCCCTTAATTTGTCAGAATCACCAAAAATTTGTAGAAAAATCGCCATTTTAACTGGAATACCCTAACATATGCTTGGAAAATTTTAAAATACCCCTAACTTTCAAGTGATTAATTTTTTGTTATGCTTGATTAAGTAAAAATTCATATCGGCAAAGATGCTCCAAAAAATTACTTGATTCAGTTCTTTTCCTTCAGATGACCACTGAAAGGAGCACTTCACTCTCCCATCAATATTATAGACTATTCTTTACATCAAGTTCTACCTTCATGTCCCCAAAGACCCTAATCCATAACTCTGACCTTTTTTACTGACACCTTCCAGACCCCCTATTGCGCTGATGCATGCCAGGCATAAAGGAAAGGGTAATATAGCAAATCAGTATAATTTAATAAGCAAGGGTAACATGAGCAAATCACTGTAATTCAGTTAGAAACAAATTGTGTTCACAGGAAGTTGGTAGAAGTGAGTAAAGAAGATCAATTATAATATAAGAATAGAAAAGGGAAGATGAGACTCAGGTTAAATGCATGACATATTTAACTTTTTAAATCTTGGGAGAAAAACAGAGCCTCTTGAAATGCTAACAATTACCAATTAAAAATATACCTCTTATTATCCTATCTGACGCTACAAACCAAGCATACAAAAAGAATGTTGGGTTTAATAGCTTTCAAAGAGGCAAGGGTTTCCCTAGTTTTGTTGTCACTCCCATATGAGGAATATCCAGTTGACAATTAGACTAAGTGACTAACCCATAGTTCCATTAACTATAGCAGCGTATAAAGAGAACATAACCAGCCAATCCCCAAAAAATGATGGTAGGATTAAACAAGATCAAGTAAATGATAAATAGATCAATTCCGTTGTTAACTGATCTTCGCAAGGGGAGTGATGCGGAGAGCAGAATTATTGTAGGATAATTATTAAGTGTCAACTAAGAACATAAACCTAACATATGACTTTAAGGGCCTTTAATAATCACAAACCAAATTAAATATGGCAGTGATACCATATGATCCTTTAGTTGTTCATTTCAAATGCTTAAAAATGACAAGGTGATTATTTCATAAAACAAATTGTCCATTTTTCAACCAGTCATTCATGTTATTCACTAAGTTCATTTAGAAAAGATAAAGTAGTTTTAAACACCTAAGTCTGGAAATATTTCCATAAAAAATACACCATAAAGAAGCAATAAACACCTCCTAATCCCAAGAAGCCTCCCAAATAGAAGATCTTCCCAGCAAAATATGGCCACTCTTTTTTATCCAAAACCCCCAATCCAAATGCAATAGTCTATTTGCTCCTAAAGTTCAAATGCATTGCTACTTGCACATAGCACAGGCCTACCGGGAAACCAGGAAGAAGACCACAGTCCAAATGTGCCTCTTAAAAAAACTAGAACTAGGCCATCCAGACAACAGTGAAAAATGCATCCCAAGAACAACAAACATACGCATAGACAAAGAAGAAAAAAACTTTACATGCAAGACTTAGAACCGCAGGGGGGGTGGGGGGAGGGGAAGGCTGAGGGGCCAGATTCCTACAGCATATCCTTAAATAAAATAAGGAAGGCCATTACACCTGGGAATCACATCAAAAAATAATATACTCTACTCCTTTTTGCCAGAGAACTAAGTTGTGAGCACCATACCTATGTATCATAGATATCAGATCAAGAGAAGATAAAGTCAACACAAAGAGGTTTCCACAAGAATTTTCAATTTATAAACAAAATAGCATAAGTTAATAACAATGCAATATGGTGCATGAATACTTTAGTTTCAGATCCCCAGATCACAGCGCTAATACATCACAGTTTTTGTTCTTTCTTCCCTTTACCACTCCCTCCCCAAAAAGTTTCCCAGCCCCATCCATCATAAGAAAATGATGTTTAAAAGGCAAGGCCTGTAATTTCTTGACCAAGACAAAGCACAGGCATCAGCCAAAATCAGACATGTACCTGATTCACCATCAGCTTTTCCGGTTTGAACATCCTCACTTAACTGCGTGATGGAAACCAAAAACAAATAAGAACATAAACAAGAAAATTGTTACAATACAAGTTGATTTCGAAGCGACAACTAAAGAATACAACAGTCAAGAAAACTCATCATATGTGCTCTTACAGTCTCCTTAAATAATATTTTTCCGCCTTGGTCATCGACATAATTTCCTTGCACCCTAAATTAAGATCATTATGCACAAAAGATTTCAGAAAGGAGAAAATGAAATGTCATTACAACTACATACTAAATTATGCCATACAATCATAGCGCCAACTTAAAGCAAATTCTCAACTCAATAACATTATTTAAAAAGAGAAAGAAGACCTGTTGTCATCTTCAAATGTATCAATAGCATTTGAACTATGATCAGACGCCAAAGAGTCAGAGCAATGGAGATCTTGGTTGGCATTAAACTGGGTTGGGTGTATTTCGTCCTGCACACACCACAGCAATATTGACCCCTCAAAAACATCAGTTCCCAAGGAAAACATATTAATGCTGAAAGAAGAGATGATACTCACACATACATAGATATTTAAAGGACCAAATGTAAACCTCACTTTGAGCAATCAATCTCACAAACCAACAAACAAAAGCAATGAGTTTCAAAACAGTTCAAAAGGTTAACCAACCAAAGGTCATTGGGTTAAAAAAATAGATATGCTGACAGAAAAGTCCAATAGCTTGAAGTATGCCTATGACATGAAAAAAAGTTATTCCATTTAGCTATGCCTCATCCATCCACAACCACATTGACATAACCCGCCATCAATTATGCGGCCTATGCCCCTCACTACAGGACTTCATGCACATAACACACATTGAAATATGCATTCTACATTAAAAGTTGGAACTGAGGAAATTAAGTTAGAGAAGACCAACTCAAAATACACAGAATCATACAAGCTGCAACAAGTGAAAAGAACAGAAAAATTAAGGCAAACAATCTTCAACCAAAATTATTTTATGTATAGACACAAATCCTAGACAAAAAAGATGAAATCAGCCTCAAGAAGAGAAATCTCAGCCTTGGCACCCAGATCAACTGTATTAAAAAGAGGCCTTGGAAAATAAACAATAAATGACAATTGCAATAACCATTCGAGCTCTAGCTGCACAAGATCATCACAGTATACAAGCCTCTGAGACACAATGGGTAGCATAACAATCCTTTTCATATTTACTCTATTAGACTTTTATGCCTACATGGATAAACTATAAAAGTGGACCAAAAAATTTCCTATATATAGTAGATCAGCATAGTTTGAGTGAGAAGCTCATTTGTTCAAAACATTAAACGTCTTCTTTATTATAATTGCTTGGTAGGTTTCAATTATCTAGATAGGTCCACAAAATCAGCACTTATTCTACAAACTGAAGTTAGAAGAATTTACACTAAGGGAAAACTCTTATGAAGAATCTTCACTGCTATTCGGTGCATACGAGTAGCATAATGCAAGAGTCTTAGGAAGCTAAGAAGTTGCGACTTGCAAGTTTCAACACAATTATAATGGTGCACCACTCAATAAATGGTTCACATTTAATGCCATACAACTACCTTTTTTTTTTGGCCAATCAGTTATAATTTGTGAAACCTACAAAATCATATCTCATATTCTCAAACAATCATGGGTTTAGCTCAGTTGGTACTCAGGTAGCAGATTGCATTCTGAAAGTGCAGGGTTCGATTCCAATGCGGATCAATTTCTGGCCCTCCCACCTAAGAGGCCGCGGAGTCACCATGATTTACCTCCTCCATGTTGTCTGTCGGGTCAGGCAGTGGGGGCCCTGGGAGCGAGGGTATTGCCTTTTTTGTATCCTGAAGATGTGGCGGAGATGCGTATGTTGCGATGGATGTGTGGTCATACAAGAAAGGATCAGTTAAGTAATAAGATAATAAGGAAGAAAGTAGGGATTACATCGATTGAGTACAAGATGAGGGAGAATCGCTTAAGATGGTTTGGCCATGTAAGAAGGAGACCAAGTGACGATCCAGTAAGGAGGCTTGAAGAATTGCAAAGTGTTGAGATTGCGAGAGGTAAGAGAAGACCTAAGAAAACTTGGAAGAGGGTGACATGAGTGCTTTGGGATTGAGGAAAATATGGTGTTGGATAGGGCGGTGTGGAGGGAGAAAATTCACGTCTACGACGTGTTGTGATTATACTTCCTCCGTTCTAGTAATATTGCAACAACTGGATTTTTACACTATTCATCATGCTTGTTTGATCACATGTTATGATTTATATGTAAAGTAAAATATAGTCATGTGGGGTCTTATTAGATTCGTCTCATAAAATACTTTCACAATATCAACTTTTAATAATTTTTACTCTTATATAATTATAGATATTTAGCATATAAAATGTGCTTTGGGATGCGTAATTTCATCCTTGATGCAATATTTGTGGAACAGAGGAAGTATATACTTTTTAAATTTATTTTCGTTTCTAATTTTATTTTTAGCCCACCAATGTTTTATGAAATGTATTGTTTTCTTTTGCTAAAGTTTTCTCAAACCTTTATATTTTCAACTTGAACGTTTTAACCACTCTTTTAAACTTCCTTGAATTTTATTCTTGATATGTTCTTTCGTTTACTCACTTTACTCACCTTTTTCAAACACTTTTAAACAATGGTTTTGTTATGTCCGTTTCTTAATATCGTATTCCTTATGACAATTTATGTTAGCCGACCCCAAATCATTTTGGGACTAAGGCTTTTTTGTTGTTGTAACAATAGTTAGGCTATTGTCACAATAACTCAGCTACATAGATCTCTAGAATATACTTCCTCCATTTTATTTTATTTTTAGACGGTTCTAACAAGAAACCACATGATTATGTATTATCATAGCTATAAATCACAAAAACTAGTCAAAGTAGGATTTGTGAATAGTATCAAAAGTCAAGCCCTATCAACTAAAAAAACAGAAGAAGCAATAAACATACCAACAATAATGAGGTAACTTGAAATTGTACCAAAATACACAAGGCAAAGGTCTACATAATATCACCTTTTTTTTTTCCTATCTACGTATTTCCAAATGAATCCATAGACAAAAGCACAAAGCCTTAAAGTGAATAACCGCTGATGAAGACAACTACTCTCTCTTTTTTTTTTTTAAAGCAGTTGTTCCCATAATCGGCCTTCTTCATGCAACAATTCCTATAATGGAAATAATCCACAGTACTTTATAACATCTCTCTCATCTCACAGTTGCCACTCCACCCTCAATGATACTTTCACTCTTCCCGTATCTCTTATTTTTCAATAAACCATTGCCTTACTACCTCTTTCTTTAATAATCTTCTATTCCTCAACAAACCCCACATACACAATATCTTAACAAATTCAACTCAACCACCTAAAACTCTAAAGTGTTGCATTTAGAAAAATAAAAGGGCACATGCTTTTCAACATTCTAAAAGCCATGTTCCAAAGTACTCCTTTCTTTCTCAAGTCAGATTCCCTATTTCACTGTAATCGATTATATATTACGCATGTTATTTGATAGGTAGACATTTGAAAGGATTTAAAATTACATCATAATCATCACAAGTAGTAGATAAACTAATTTAATAATATATATTTACCTTCACTGTAGATCGAGAAGGCACTCTACCTCCTTCAAAGCCTTTTCCACTTTTCCCACTAGCGACATCAGCAAAGGATCTGCCAAAAGCAGGCCCAGTAGAATCTCCAAAGGTCTCTGCATCACGTGAATTTAACAATATATCCTCATCTGCACACCCACTGTCATCAGCACCCCTATAAACTGCGGAGTACTTTGTCTCTTCATCAATATCAAAGCCACCATAAGGATTTACACCACGCTCCTGAAATAGAATAAATGTCCACCAACTAAGATTGAAAGTCCCAAAAATCAAGACTTGAATAGATTATTCAGTGCAACCTCACCTCTGCTAAATGAAGATCATGTGTTTCCTCACCCTCAATTTCCCTAGCTATTCTCCTAGCTTCCTCCTCTAATTCCCTTGTTCGAGGTCCCTTCTCAAGTTTTGTGGTATACAGTTCCTCGTTGAATGTGCTTTTTACACCAAACAGTTTCTCATTAACCTTGAACTGGTCCCAGCTCCTATTGAGTGAAGGAAAAATTAAAAATTAAAAACATTTGATAAGTTTTTAAAAATTCGATAGTGCAATGTAATAGGAAGTAAGCCAAAAAAATTGGAAAAAAGAACATTTAAAGATATAGTTACTATAACAACCCAGTCCAAGAGGAATCAAAAACATTGTCCAGTTCAGGGCACAGTGGATCATCCTTATCAGGCATCCAGGGCTCGAGCTCTCGTCCCCCCTCAACATGACGAGAATGAGATATGTAGGAGTCCAACATTATATCCTGCCTACTTTCACCTCGGAGCTCATTCGACAATCCATCCCTTGTAACAGGCACATCCTGCCAGAAAATCATGTCGGTTGAGAGAATCATAAATTGTAGTTCCACAAGGCAGCATATTTGACAGGAATGGAATCATTAAATAATCAGGAAAGCAAAGACTAAGTAGAGACAAAAAAAAAATGTAACAAAAACAGAACTAGAATTCAATCATGCATTCCCTGTACATAAAAAAATCTATAAAACAAAGAGTGCGGACGAAGACCTTAGCCACAATTTGCACAAGTTCATGAGCTGGTATTATAAGAGTTTTTGACGGAGCCTTGACAACTGAATCAGAGGTAACCTTTTGTGCCCTAAGAGAGACATCCTTTATCAATCGAGCCATTTTCAAGATAGCCCCTGAGAGTGAACCAAAAGGAAATGTCACAAGGCAATGTTCCCACAACAGTCAATTTTGCAGGGCTGTATGGCAGCAGAAAGGCATGAAATACTAATGATTCACATCTATGAGACTTACCAAAATCTTTATCGGCACTTGTCGCATGGAAAATTCCAGAGTATACCGATCCATTTTTGACCTGGACTTCTACATGATGTCCAATTAGACAGGTTGTCAAATAAACAAGCCGATCCCGCGAAGGACTCTCAGACCCTACACTTCTGCTGCCACTTGTTATACCTGCATCAAAAATAAAATTATTAAGTTGCACATGGCAAATTAGTGGAGCACTTATGTTAGAGACCTTCACCTGCACTTGTCACTCTATCGGGATTTGATTTTCCAGGCTGTGATTTTATATCCATCCTATTGCTGTTCTCTTTTTCAACTCTGCGGCGATTAAAACCATTGGCAGAAGTTCTTGGCTGTGCAGCTTGCTGCAGGTTCATGCTGAGCAGACTGACACAACCTCCCTGATGGCAAAATTATTAGGGTTAGAAGCAGCAAATACACTGTGAATCATCATATCACACAAGACCAGTTACATGCACCCTGAAAGTTAAGTTCATCTAAGGACACAAAGGCAACACGTAATAGATTGCCTCCCTTCCATTTTGTCTATAGACTTCAATTATGACACTCAAACTAATATTTACAGCAGAAAATCATCAAATACACAAATGTATCATCCATTTGTTTGTAGTAAAGCAAAATGATCACAAACATAATATCAAGCAAACCACTACTCATAGAGAATCCTGCTGCTGAATACCCAGCAAGAGCCCGTTAATAATATTAAAGGCCTTAGGTTAGAGTTTTTGAGGGAACTGGTCTATGAATTATTTTTTCTGAGCTTTTATAAAATAATTCATAAAGTTAATTGTGAAAATAATAAAAATTCAAAATTAAAATCTCACCCTGAAGGCCTATAATGATGATTGGACAGATTGGACAAAAACAATCATCGACTAAATATAGATAAATCACATCAAGGGGGGAATGAAATCCAATCACCTAAAGTCAAATTTATGATACTAAGTAACAAAGAAGGAAGGAAAAAAAATAAAGCCATTCTAGTGTATTCCCACATCATTACATGGTTTCACCTTGTTTCTATTCTATTTTTTGCTCCTTACTAAATCTTTCAACCAAGTGTCAGTCCAAGACTTCTACTTGATCAAGTTCTAAGCTTTATAGTATAAGGATATTGTCAATTCGTTTTATAACATTTTCAACCAATTTCATAATGTGTGGTTAATTGAGATGTTCAGAATTATCTGAAAAAATCAAGACGGATATCAAGATAAGACTGGATTTTTATGCATAGAATAGCAGGGTGTGATTCTGTAATTTCTAGATTTGGCAATATTTATTTATTTATTCACTTTCATGAGAGTCAAACTGACATGAAATTAACCCTACACTATTAATTATATTGAACTTCAAAATAATAAAAAATTTATTATTATTATAATACTAAATCAGCCCAATTCACACATTCTTTACAAAATTCTTAAGCTATGATCTGATCAACAGGGGCAGAAAGAAATATTCAAACTTCAACAAATCAAACATAAAGTAATGGTACACAATTCGAATAACATTTGTATGGCCTAAATTTACACTTGTATTTTCAATTTAACTAACATAATGCTCCATTTCAAGAATTACCCATATAGCGCGAAACCGGTTTAACAGCCACCAAATAACAATCAAACAATAATGCTGATCAAACCTACGACCCTTCTTCGAAATCTAAACACATAGTGCTACTTACTTGGCAAAAACAAATCAAAATAAATACTAGATCACTTAATTAGTTTATTAATCATACTACTACTATTCCAACTCAAGCTCGACTCATGCTTAAATAGCCCCAAAACATTTCAGATCGGCTTGATTAGGCTCAAAAACATCACACAATATTCATCTCGCTAAACAAAATCAACATAAACTGCATATAACAAAATTCTTGCAAAGAAATCGCTCGTTTCAAGCTTCCATAACTTCAATAATTACAATCAATAGTTCAATAATCAACCTAATAAGAACCCTAAATTAACTATACTGAAAATTAAAATTAAATTAACGGTAGTGTGAAATTAAACCCTAGATTGAGCGATTAATATTCGAAGAATTGAAAAATAATAACCTTACCTCAGAAGCAGCTTCAATGGAGGATAGAAAGCTTAGAAGCCGCTTCAATGGAAAACTCGAAGTAGGCTTCAATGGAGGGAGGAGAGAGAAAGAGAAAGGTGCGTAAAAGTGAAATGCTTGAAATTGGAAAAAATTGAAAACATAGGAGCAAGGATTAATGACACGCATATAATCTCAATCGTTAGATCTAATCATATCGACGGTCATCTTTCATCCTCGTATAAATTTTATTCCAAAAAAAATTGGATTTGTTGATATCTACAACTTTTATTATTATTTTATTAAGTGCATTGAGATAACTAATAAATTATCTTTTTAAATAAAATTGGATTAATAAATAAAAAATCATAAGATATTCTATAAAAGTATTTATATGTAAGGTAGCATTTAATTTTTGTATGGCTCTTTTGAGTTCATTTATTCTATTTAGGGTCTGTTTGACATTATTTTCACTTTTTTGTTGTCACGAAGTACTCCATAATTTTAAAAAAATAAAAAATACTTGAACATGTATTTTATTTAAGATCGGTGTCATGATTTTTAAGGACAAGAAACATAAATCTTAACCAACCTCTTCATAATCATTCCCATTATCCAATCTTATTGATAGATGTCTCTTAACCATATGTTCATATTCTTCGACGGTTTGGTACGTAACTTAGGAGCAGCAAGAGTCATGATAGTAGTGGAACATTCATCAAGTCATCTAGGTTCAAACTCGACAGCACCAAAGTATTCAACTATTCATAGCAAAAGCTATATAACTCTTTATAAAGGAATCTAACTAACTTTTTAATTTAGCATTCAAAACATTGAAATTGAAGGTGATAATCTATTAGTCATTAGTTGAATAAAAGGTAGTTGGGAAGTGCAGCATATTATCGAAGACTTTTGTTACCTCCTTACTCGGTTTCGCAATTGAAGAATCTAGGTAATCCAGCACATCTAATGAGAGGTAAATTGTGCAACAGATTGGATAGTTTATGTAGGTCATTTACTATCTTTATTGTAAATATTGATGTTTGTAATAACTCTAGTTTGTATACTATTTTTTTTTTCCTGATATAATTTGTTAAATATTATGCACTTTATCATTTAAAGGTGATAGAAATGTGTTACCAAACATAGCATTTATCTCCTTATTTGCATCTATTCAATAACATATTTGTATCTATGATAAACCTAGGTTTTTATAGTCAATGACACGTTTTTCCTTTTAGAAAACAGTCTATGACTAGTATTATTTTAATTTATTCAATGACACACTTTTTCTTCTAGAAATCCGTTTATTACAAGTATTTTGAATTACTCGTATATTTTTTCTTGTCTCAACCATTACATTTTTTTTTTGATTCTCTTTTTTTTTTAGTATTATTTATCACATTCTAATCTACAAGTTATACTTAATTTTCTATACAAGTATCTTTTATATAATTCTCCTAAAATTTTACGCGAAAGATAGCATGTCACTTAAAAACTAATGGATTATATGATTTATATCCAATTAAAAACTAAGGGATTATTACGAAAATGTCACTTGATTTGCACCTTTGTATATCATTTTATCAAGGAGATTAATAGACATTTCTCCTCAATTCTAACGAGATAGTTACCCTCTTGACCTGGAGAACTGCAGTAACGTTGCGCCTGCACTCCTCTCTTTCTATTCCACAAATTACAAAAATTTTCATTCTTCTGTTTTTCGAAGATTTGAGGGAGAAGGATAAGATGTCACTAACAAATGTAAAAATGTCGGAGGAAGTGTGGTTAACTTGCGTCACCCACGCATTTTCAACCGAAACTGAAGAGATCATGGGTCTTCTTCTGGGAGACATTGAGGTTTAGTCTCTCTCTTTTGACTATTTCTGTAATTTTTGTCAAGATTTGGTTAATGGGTATTTGAATTTTGGTTAATTTAAGGTTTATTTTCTCTGTTTTTGATGAAATTTATGTGCTTTCAATCTTTGGGCGTTTTTTTGTTCATGTGTTTCCTTAATTTTGTCAATTTCATTTTAATTTGTTTATCTGATGTTAATCAATAAGCATGATGAAAGATGTAATTTTGGTCTGAATTAAAGGAATAAAAGGTTGAATCTTTGTTGCTTTTTTCAATGTGTATGTAATAATTGGGTTTAGGGCTTGAAATTTGTTGAATTTTGGGTGTAAGTTAGGTTAGGGTGGGTTCTTACACTCATTAATTATTTGGGGCTTTCCATTCATCATCAATAAGTCAGAATTGGTTGTTTAATTTGGGCAGAAAATGGAATTAGTGAGAGAGTAATTTGAAAAGAAAGTTAAAAAGGTGGCAAAATTTCCCTTTTGGTTAAATACTCGCCTCATCCGTTGTTGTCAGTTTTCAGTATACTGATGCCATGATGGTAACTTAACACTTTCAGTGCTCAAGAGGTGGAAATACAACAGCTTTGATATGGGGCGCAGCACCGCAGACTCGGTCTGATAGGAGGAAGGACAGAGTGGAGACTAATCCTGAACAGTTGGCTGCCGCATCAGCCATGGCAGAAATATCCTTTGTTTTAGTTCAGCTAATTTCTGTAAATTCCTTTACTTTGTGTGGGGCTGTGAGTGATGGAGGAAGTTTCTTGTCATAAATTTGGTAGGTTAGGCAAAGTTGATTGGATTTTAAAGATTGCAAAAGTAACGAATGGGAAATGAGTGCATTTAAAGGATATAAACCTACAGCTACCTGTGTAATCTTGTAAACAACTACACATGAGTGAACTTTGAAGTTTCAGATGATTGAAAAATGTGCATGGAATTTTTGGACGATTTGTGTAATTAACTAAATAGCACAGAATGAGCACTTTAACTGGAAGACGAACAAGAGTGATCGGATGGTATCATTCTCATCCTCATATAACTGTACTTCCATCGCATGTTGGTAAGTATGGAATTGTGACAATTGTTACTTTCATTGTTGCTTATGGCCATAAGGGGCAGGAGTCAACCAATTCATTTTGCAAGAGCTGTATGTTTTAACTCGACTCCTTGTCTATAGCTCTATACAAATTAGTGGTTTTTGGTTGCACACAATCTAGTTGTGGGACGTTTATTAGGTATTGGTTATACATATATTTTGCATATCCAACAAAATCATATGAATAAAAACTTAAAATTTATAGACATGTCATTTCATTCAATTTTCCTTACAAGAATGCAAGCCAATCCACAGTTATAAGCTCCTCAACAAATGAATTACTTGGCTGGACTATAATTTTATAGGTATATATCTTCAAAATTCAGAGTAGTTAGCGGGAGCAGTTGCCTGATCGCATAGGAGTATAATAAGAGCCGGGTTGATGAGAGAGCACAGGAGTATAATATGAGCAGGGTCGATGTAAGAAAGAGAGAGAGAGACAAATCTTATTGACAGTCTAGACTTAATTCTGAATAAAGATGTTTCAATTCCTATTTTCTTATTTTCTTTGGTACTGTCCTGAGATTTTAAATACCAACCTGAAATTCAATTTTCCCCCCCTACCTCTTCAGTTTAAATTACCACTGAAAACCACTCTATGTGTAAATCCTGCCTGAAATGGGTCTGTGACATTAAAGCTAATTAGTTATCTCTTCAATACCATTTTAGGCTAATATCTAATTAAGTGTATTTACTTGTCACTCTCAATCTTGTTGAGCAATGTATTTCTTATTCTCTGCATGCATTTTTATATCTCAATGTAATTGAAAATTTATTTTTTATCTGCTTTGGAATGCGGATTTTGGATTCTATTGATGCTTTAGGCTTTGCCTCTGGTAATGAATTGCTTAGTCTAATGCTGTTGTGGCTGAGATGATAAAATTTGTTTGATCGAATAATTATTTACATTCAAATGCACACATGTGACACATATGCAATGTACGTATATGTATGTAAGTTATTTGTTTTTCAGAAAGGTGCAGTTGTTTGGCTAATCTCCGCTGCATTTGATGGCTGAATTCTAGTAATTCAGATTCCAAACCGAAGTATATGTTGTGCTCTAAGATTGGATAAATTCTGTGTTTGTCTTACTTTGCCTCTTTAATTGAGATTGAATACTCTCTGCAGATGTGCGTACTCAGGCAATGTATCAGCTTTTAGATTCAGGATTCATCGGGCTTATATTTTCATGTTTTAATGAAGATGCTTTTAAGGTTTGTGTCATTAATAAATTAAATTTAAACCCTTTTTCTTGCACTTCTGTTGGAGGATTTGTGAATTTTGTTGGCCAATATTCAGGTTGGAAGAATTCAAGCCATTGCATTCCAGTCCTTGGATGGGAAGCAGAGTTACAATTCAAGGCCTATCACTATATCTCCTGTACAGAAAAATAATATTATAGATGTTGAATCATCGTTGAGTTCTGATGATGCGTCAAGGTTAGGCTCTGGAAAGGGTGAAAAACCCGAACAGGACACAGGTGATTCAAGAACTGCTGCAACTAAGGTTAGACACAGAGTTGGGTGTGTTCATTCAAACGTGATGCCTTAGTGAATGACTTGCAATGAAAATGACACATAGATGCTGTCATAAGTGATGTTAAGGCATAATCTATGCTGGGCTTTGCACTATCCCCTTAATGGATGCTATGGGCAAGCTTATCTGTTGTTATGCACTACAATTACAAGTGTGCTGTAGTTTTCTTTTTTCAACTGTCAATCACTGATAGATTAGTCTCCAGGCCTCCAGGGCTTCATTATTTTGGTTGTTATGAGATCTTGATCACAAGTGGATTATATATATCCCCTGTATATAACTTAACGGCTTTAACGCGTAATCTTTCATTTGTTCATAGTCCATTTCCTTGATTTCTTACATGTAGCTTTTTATTACCCTTGAATTAGTGACAAATGTTTTTTTTCTTCTTTTTCTGATATGTATCTATGGTACACCTTTTTGATGTGAATGACCTTTGATTTTGGAAGGATTACCTTGTGAGCTTATTCTAAGATGAAGGATATATGAAAGTGCAAAGAAATTGGTTTTACATGAATGCTAATAGTAGTTAATGCTGGTGCTTGTGTCAGTAAAACATATAAGTTTACTCTCAAATCTATTTTGATTATGTATTTTCCTCGTGTATATGTCCTGTCACTTGACTGAATGTGTGTATCAGGAAGTCAACTAGATGCTTCTTCTGTAATTAGGAAATTTTTATGCTCCTCTTTCAGTGGGTGTTGTTCTAAAGTTTTTTAACTAGCTGAAATTTCAATCCCCCTCCACCTCTATGGAGTATTAATATTTTAAGAGTTCTATGTGACTTGCATTTAGAAATTCTGCACTTATTACATGTGGAAGTAGCACCTTTTAGAGTAAAAGAGGTTTCAGTTTGCCATGTGTGACAGTGAATATATAATGACTAGCTGGGCTTGATTTGGCAAAATTGACAGTTGAAACTTTCTAAAGAAGAATTTACGAGGGCACCTATAAAGGCTATAATATGTAGCTTATGATACTTCTTAACAGTGGTTTCTGAGGAATAGTTTAACCTTGAATCACAGACATTAAAGTAATCGACACTCAATTGTGGTGTTTGTGCTTCCATCTCCATGAGATGAGTGTTTTTCTTTCTCTTTATGACTTGAGCGCTTAAGAAGATATTCCCTCATCTAGTGTGTAACATGTCAGAGGACCTTTTTTGAGAATTTTTTTTTGTCTTGATTCTACTTAATAGCATGAACTCCTTTGTGCAAACCTGTGTGGTGATCTTTATCAATTATCTTAAAATCCAGATGAGTTGGAACCAGAATAAGGATAAATAGGTCTCAAAAGGAACAGCAATCTAATAAATTTTTTGTTGGGGGTAGGTATAAGGGTAATTTTCTTGTTTTTATTATGCTTCTTTTGCTATATCTAAACACCCTGTTTGTCTACCTTTGAATGCTTAATGTTAAAAAGTTTAAATTGTAGGCAGCTTCTTTATCCATTTATATGGCAATTTCAGGGCTCTGATAGAATAGGAGGGAAGTTTCACCCTGACAGCGCTGGTAATGCTTTTGGTGACATTGATCCCATGGATATGTCTGATGGCATGCAAGAAGCAATGCATCGCTCTCATTTGGAAATGAGGTATATATGAGTACGTGCTCATCCTTTCTCTAGTGTTTGTATCTCACATTCTACAATACCAATTCTCTATATTGCGCTGGCACCATTGTAAAAGGAATTATTTTCCCAGAGCAGTAGTGTGGTATGCATCTTTTTCTATTACGCTATTATGCTTTGCAGACATGCAGTATTTGGTTTTCAGTTGCCTATCAATTGATTCTGTATCTGAAAGACTTTTTCTAGTATTATTGTAGCTAGGGAAATGGGAGGTGTTTGCGCTGTCCATACAAAGGGCGTAGAGGGCTGGCAATGGTAGGAGATGAAGGGGGGAATTGGGGGGGGGGGGGGGGAGGGTAAAGCAAGGAATTTTGTTGTTGTGATGCTAGTGTGCTGGTGTAAAGTCTGTGACTGAGAAAGGTGAATCTTTTGTAGCAATTTGCAGTTGGCATTTTTGGGTGTGTTAGCAACTCTGGTGGGTGAATGAGAATTTGGTGTTTAGAGTCAATTTTTCAGTTTCAAATACCGACATGATTTGTTGTAAAAGTTTGTTTTTCAAATCAATATATTATGTCATTCTTTTGACTGCTATGTCTGTTGTCATGGCTTGTTGAGCTTTACCATACATCTTTTATTTATTACTTCGTATTTTTTAAGAGTATGATGAGATTAAGCACGCCTAGCAGCTTTGTAAAATTTGCCAACCTGTGTGTAGAGAAACTTTAAGGAAACATTATTGCTTATTCTGTTTATATTTTGAAAGAAAAACTTTCTTTACATTTATTCTAAGAATTTGACAACTTTTGGGGACCTCTGGAATTTTATATAATGGCAATTTTTAGGTGGAGAGTGCATGTGGTTTTGAAGTTTCTGCAGCTAGTCGATATTGTTCATATTGGGGAAAATTAAGGTTGGGGATTGAATGGTATTCTAGCAAGTTTTGTTGTATTGATTGCAAAACTGTATTGAGAAGCCCTCTTTAACATTTATAGTTATTTCTTAGTTAGAAATGGGGAGTTGGTATTTTCATGTGAACAATTGTGTCAGGTTTTAGGTTGTACAAGCTAGTAGGCTATTACTTAATGTTTCTAAAGTTATTTTTCTTGCTTGCGTTGTAGTGGAGCAGAGTATATCAGGAAAGAAATCCCTCTTGACGTTCTTCCTGCATCTTCCCTTCTCAAGCTAGATTCACCTTTGGCCTCCTTTACGGATTTGCAGCGTGTGTTGTATGAAGAGGAGAAGGCTGCTTATAACCAAGCAATATCCCAGAATATCAGGTAAACTGCTGATGGCTTCTTTTTTCTTTCCTTCTTACAGAGTATTACTAAAGTTTCTCTAAAGTTTGTTATTTTAAAAAAATTTCTATAAAGGGATGGCAAGTTGCATCCGCTTACTTTCATCCATCATACATCAACATATCAAGCTTCAATGTGCAAGTTAATGGAATACTGGTGAGTAAGCTGATTTTCAGGAGTAACTTTATTCTGGTGCTACATTTTTCATACTCACTTGATACTATATATTGTAGTCTTACTCCTGCTATTGAGGCTCTTGAAGATCATCTCCGAGAAAATGAACTTCGGGTAATAGTCTTTCTGTCCTCACTGTCCTCTTCATCCTTTGCTCTCCCTTACATGAAACTAATAGTGAAGCTTTGCCCATGAAGTTAGGAATGTTGACTGAAGAAGCAAAAGTTCTGGAGGCCGAAGCCTCCAGAGGGACTGAGGGCACAGTAGGATCTCCTCTTCGGGTTGATGGATATCGAGGCAGTCCTGCTCGTGCTCATAGTTTTGGTGAATCTATGAATGCAAGAAGTCCTGCTCCTGCTAGTCCAAGTAGCAGGAGTAGAAAGGGTTTTTGAAAATTCAACAGTAGAAAAGGTTGCTGAGTTTTTGGAGATGATGCTTGGTCAAGAAAGGTTTTTGGGTTGGAGGATGAATGCGTAATTTCGCTATCATACTTCCCCATTTTGGTGACGTGCAACTTATTGAAGCAATGCGCTGTAGCAAGGTTGTGTTATATAGATAGTGTCTTGTAAATGTTTATGAATCAAGCAATGAATGCAATTGGTTTTTTTTTTGGGAATTGTTTAATGGAGTGGAGTCCTGTTCTTTTGGACTTATTTTTTCATAATTTCAGTTTAATTCAGTTCAACTCTATTAAGACCGGTTTCATTTAGCTCAACTTAGGTCCATTCATTCTGGATGCTTCAGATTGCCAAGTCCAAAACTCCTAACATATGGTTAATTTGCGATTAGAAATTAGAAATCTGAAAACTAGGTCGGTCCACACGAATAAAATTGTAAAGTGAGAGAAATCAAATACAAAGTATTCTACAATACGAGTAAGTCTTTTAACATTATGTCCTTAGTATATAATTTAAAATCTCATTTCTAGAGAGTTGGAGGATATAGGATGTTTGTTGTTGGAGGAAAACACTTTAGTTTACTCTCTGAGCCGGGATCAAATTCTCTTATTATCATAGTGTTGTATCGAATTATATTGCCACAATTGGATTTACTAAGTAAATGTATTTTTATACGTTTATTACAAAAAGTAATATCTATTGCATGAGATTGTTAGGATAACATCTGCTAAACCTTAGGACTAACAATTTTAAATTATCATATCAATAACTTTAACTAGTATACAAACAAAAAGTTACTCTGTATTATAGAATCAGGCAAATATCAATATCCATAATCACCTACCAACATACTCGTATAATAAAATTTGCCATTTTAATATATGCTACGTACTTGTTTTAAATGAATAATTATTAAAAAAAAAAAAAAAATCAGGTGAACTAATTCCAACAGATTTGCTTGTTTTGGGTTTGTACTGTTGTACATACTCCGTACTTGACAGGTCGAAAAAGTAAATACAGGTTTTCAGTCACAGCAAATTAATTCCATAAAAAACGGTTAAACCTGAGCTCTGCAGTTTTTGGGTTTCATGCGCTTTCACTCTCTCCACCAGTTTCTCTTTCCTACTTTCTCTATCTAACAACTTCGAACCACTGCCATGGCTGCCAGTAAGTCCCTCTTTCTCTCTCCTCTTTTTATCAAACCCTTCAATTTTAATCAAAGTTTGCATCTTTCTGCTGTGATGATCATTTTCCCTTGTATTTATATGTCATTGTCTTGTTATGGTTGTTGATTTTGCTCTTATTTTTATTGGAATTTGGTTTTTGGGTTCTGTTGAATAATGCTTATAAATTAGTGGGTGAATTAGATTGAATTTTATCACACCCTATAAATTTGATATATTGTATTTTTATTTATATTGCATGATTTTTGTTGCTGTATTGTTTGCATCGAAATTGTGTTCACATCGAGTGAATAAAATTGTTTCTTGAAAATTATTCAATTGAATTTGATAAGTTCTATCGTGCTGTTAGAATTGGAACCGAAAGCCGGAATCGAAATGCCTGAACATATTAAATGTTACTGTAGTTTAGTTACTTAAATATTGGTCTTATACTATTTTGCCTCATGTAGGGATTGCAACTTGTTTTAGGCTGAGTATCGCGATTAGTAGATTGGCATTGATAATTAATTTCATAAATTGTTTGTTGATTCTATTAGCCGAGTTCGTTGGATGTTTGCATTAGTTTTTAGTATGGAAATCTTTGAGAAAAAATTAAATCAATAGATATTAGTTTTTAGCTGCTTGGTTATGTGAAAAATTAAAATGACATGAAGGTTATATACCGAATTTCTAATCTTCTGTTGTGTAAATGCATGTCTTATTAGTTCTTTCTTGGAGAATTAGAGTAATTAATCCAAATTCTCTTCTAATCAGCTAATAATCACCCCCCCCCCCCCCTTCTTATTTTTCTCATGAAACACGTCTTTACCAGAATAGGCCTTGATTAAACTTGTCCTTCTCGAAGAGAATATGTGATATGATACTTATCAATATGAAATGTAGTAATTCTCTGTAATCATGGGCTGGGCATTTGGCTGTTTCTTTGTAACATCTCATAATATTGGTGATTCAAATTTATGTGTTTGTAAGGCTTTCTGTGATGATTCTGAGAGACAAATATGCTTAGAGCTAGATGCTTGTATTCTCGTGTCCCTGTTTTCGATATTATTGACATAATTTTGTGCTTCTCTATTGTAATTTATAATGAACTAACTGATTATTTAGGTATAATCATGATATTGTTCTCACTTCAGTAAGTTTCATGTGGGGGATGATGTACATTAGTATTTAATACGTGCCCTGCTACTTACCTGGCAAGTAGCGACTGAACCATACAATTAATCTGACCTGAACCTGACCTGTTGACCCAAATTGCCACCCCTATACAACAAGGCATATTTTTGTAAATATTGTAGTTTAATTGTAAGATTAATAAGAAAGCTTGAGGCTTTTTGATTGAAACTAGCAAAAGGTTACAAGGATAAATATAGCTTTAGGCTATAACTCTCAATGGTAGCTTGAGGCTACTAATCTCACATTCAAAATATCACTCAATTTCTGCCTCCCTTACTACTGCTACTACCTTCCTTTATATACTCAAGCAACTACAATTCCCTAGCATTAATTAGAAATTGTCCTACTACAAAATAACAAAAGAGAATCAGTTTGCAGGCTTCATGTTGCCTCCTCTCCTATTGGAATGTTAATTGCATTTGTCTCTTAGTGCATAGCTGTCCCTTCCTTTTTCTGAGTCTACAAATTGTCTCACATTGTTGGTTCATCACAATTTTTAAACAGGTAGCATTGAAACTCGATAAATAGTTTATTTGTAGTTTTGGCTTGCTACTGTTCCATCACCTCTTATTCCCAGTGAAGATGAAACCTTGTCTTTCCATTATCCTATGGAAGTCAGTATGTGTTTGGAATCGTTGGATAACAATCCTATTATAAGCTCATCAAATCACAAATTTATCTTTTGCCTGATTTCAGGTAGCTTAGGTATTTCAAAAACACAAATTTTGAGCTCGAAGCTTAAATATAGGAGCAGCTTATCTTTGACATCCTTCCCATGTGTTATTCAAGCTGGAAGTAGGCCAAAGTCATGGAAGCATTCAGGTTTAAAAATGTCACAAACTTCACATAAAGAATTAATTATATGCCGTGCTCAAGCATCATTGACCACTGAAAGTAAGTGATAACAGAATCCTTTTTATCCTATGTTACTCGTTCTTTAATTTTGCTACTATTACAGGCTTGCAGCTAATGCTACAGTTGTAACTTATAATCATATTATCATTGCTGTTGCAATGCATGTGTAGTCCGAAACAGCTTTTCTCCCTGGACTTATTTTCATTTGTCTTCTGGTATTGTTTATTTATTCTTGGTCTAATAATTCTGGAACTGAGATAAAGATGTAGTAATAGCATCGTGTGTAGGCTGCTGTAGGCTAGTAGGCCCTTCTCCAATTCCTCATATGTCAACTTCTTGATGCTTGATACCTCAAACAAGTCTATGAGTAAAATTTTTTGCACAAAATTTTTTGGAAATATATAAATATCATGCAAAAGAAGATATAGAATAGTGTCTTACTGTCTTATGATTTTTTGAGAGGAAAGGAACGGTAAAGTCAAATGTTTGACTGTATGATTTACTGCAGATTTTCTTTGTATATGGAAAGGGTAACCTGTGTTTCTTACAGTATAATTACAGAAATTTCAAAGGTGGTAATGGTGTGGACAGGTACCATAACCTCAATGGCACTATGTTAAGTTTGAAAACATGTTCACCATGAACAAAACCCAAAACATAAGAAAATCCAAAACTTTAGTTGCAGCATTTGGAGTTTTCTTAAATAACAAGAGACCTAGTGTAAAATTGTGGGCTATGTTACATTAGTATTAATTGTAAACTATTTTTTCCATGAGGAGTTTGTTGATTAGAAAATTAATTTGACAAGATATATCAATTGAAGGGTGCTAATTTGTTTGATGCTGATAGTCTCAAATTCTCATGTTATATGAACCAGTTAAGTTTGATTTCTTCAGAAAAAGAAAGTAATTATTAGAAAACCTTTTTGTCTGTCTGTCTAGATATCTAACCTGCATTTGCTGGGAAGAATAAAACTATGAAAGAGAAAAGGAAATACTATGGATTCTCCTTATAGGTATCCTTTTCACCGTACCTGCATGTTGTTCACACTGTCATATGAATGTTCATACAGGTGAGCCAGCTACTTCAACATTAGAAAAGGGAGAAGAGCAAAGTAACCTTTCTGGTCCGGTTAGCCAGCTTATTCCAGATTCAGACAAGGTTATATTCGTTTCTAAGTCTTATTAAGTTTAACTAAATGCTTTATCATTTATTGTTCCGAAATGGTGGATTCAGCTCAATGCCTTCTTACTAATTTTTGGTGGTAGAACTTTCATGCCTTGATGTATGGCTTTTGGTCCATTTTGTAATATTTTGGAACTTGATATATATACATTCAGAGAGGGAAGTCCCACATGGACATTGCATCGGTTTCTTGATTCTGTGAATCATTCACATGATTCTTATCTGTTTAAAATAAATGCATTCTGTCAGAGTACTTGTCACACCTTTCAAGTCTGTAATTAATGTGAATTATTTTATATGATGTTTCAGAGGCTGAACAAAATTAGACTGTTAATAATGTTTGTGAGATACAGTTTGATATTCTTTTACCTGGTACCCTATATTAAAATTTGTTGGGTATTCTATATATTGTATTCTGAGTATTATGGGATTTGGTATAGACAAGCTAGCAAAATAATCATATTATTTTATAATCATTTTATGGTTATTGAGAAATTAATTTTCCTTGATTAATTTCCATCTCTGCGTTTTCTGTTTTTACCTTCTAAATCCCCTTTCTGACCTGTGCTCTTCTTTCTTACCCTCCTTTTCTATCTGAGCCTTATATATCCGTTGATTATAAGTTCAGTTAAATTTGATGCTTTTCCCCCCTCTATTTAGGTGAAATTACTGCTGACAGAAATATGCGATACAACATCAATTGCAGAATTTGAACTGAAAGTAAGTTTCCTTTGTTCCTTTATATTTTAATTTACCTTTCTCATATTGATAAGAAATAGGATAATATGGAATCACATTGCTCTTTGGACCATGGATAGTTGGTACATGGAAATACAATTTTATTCGTTAGTTATGATTCCAATAATGCTGGATTTGAAATATTTTTTTTGATGGCGAAGCATGATACTTTTAGATATCTTCTATTCTATCATAAAAGTACTGCAAGATGAATTTAATTCTAATTCCTAAAATTAATTTGTGCTTATCAGTAGAGTTAATACATTTTCTTTGAAGTGTATCCTGTAGGGTTAAGCCTATCTTTGGTTTAACCTTGGATACATGTTGGGTGCTGGTAGTGTACAGTTGTTTGGGCACTGGTAGTGTACAATTGTTTTTGCGGTTACTCGTGTGTAGAATATCTTGAAAACTCAGCTCATCATGAATGTTGAAAATCTCAATTTCGAGCTGTAGCAACTTCATACCAATTTTCCGTTTAGCTGGCAAACCTGGCATTTTCAAACAACAAATTATTGAAAAAAATATTGCTTGATTCAATTATGGTTATCTCAGAATTAAATGAAGATTTGAAAGTTTCAGAGGCCATAATTATGCTACCTTAAGCCATCTGGATTAATGAAGGCTTTCAATCCCACACTATAGCTCCATTAATTTGGTCATTGGCATGCTGTGACCAACTTCAGTGACAACATCAAGTGTTGCTGGACTTAAGTTGTGGAGTCTCATTTTAGATTGCAACACTTTTTGGAATGGATCCAGGATTCTTTATCACAGATAGTGATGAGATATCTGTTGATGCTTAAATATTTTCAAGGGATGGGATACAATTTAAGCTTAATAGTAATTGGAGTTGCATGTTCAATTTACAACATACTTGATTACTTTTTTTGCAATCTTCTTTAAGCTGTTCGAGGCCTCATTTGGCAGTACGTGGAATATTTGTAAATGTTGTTAGTATCTATAAAAATATAAGTATTAGTTTACACTAGGATATTTACAAATATTTTTAATAATTGTATTTTGGGTCAAGTTTTTGTGTAAACGCAAATCATCTTCACATTTCTTATAGCTTTAACGTTCTTGCAAGATTAGCTTAATGGTTTTCACCTCCATGTAACGAGGGAGTTGTCTAAGGCTGTTGACCCTCCACCTCTGCCTCCATCTGGTTCAGCTTCAATGAGTTCAAACACAGCAGTAGAGGCACCTTCTTTGAATGGTCCAGTCTCGCCATCGTCACTAGCCATCACCAAGGCTGAGCCTCTAGACATTGTTGCTGACACCTTGCTTGAGAGAGCGGCAAATGAAGGATTGGTAATAATTCAATCTCCAAAGGTAAGAATCCTCATATATATTGTCTCTAGTTTAAAGATATTTAGTGTAGCAATTGTAAAGCCATTGATGATGCAGGTAGGGTTTTTCCGGAGATCTCGAACCATAAAAGGAAAGCGTGCACCTCCAGCTTGCAAAGAGGTAGATTATTTCACCCCTTGCCGAATCCACTCTTAATTCTTGTGATTGTCCCTTTTTTGTGGAGCCTCTTTGGTTTTGTTAGAAAGGGAGAAGGGACATGGAGGTTTCCATTTAGGTGCTATCTTATGCTGTTACTCCTACATTCCTGCTATGAGGCCAAGTTTTCATCTTTTTAATGTTTGTCAAAGGGAAGAGGGGTATTTGATGTTTACAGTATGTCGTGGATGGTCTTAATGTCTTATGCTGACATCAGTTACCAAGTTATTCATCGTGTACTCATGTCATGTGTTGGTTCTATATTTATACTCTATAATTTGCTGTTTCCCTGAGGTTGCTTGATTTGATTTTTGGAGAGCAATAGAAGGAATGATTTTTCAGAACTTGAAAGTTTATGAAAGTTCACATAAATGCTCAAGACATATCTTTGTTATCAGCTTAACACTCTCTAATCTGCTATAAGAGTTTCTAACATTTATTTTTGACATAAACAGAAGCAGGTCGTTAAGGAGGGGCAAGTGATTTGTTACATTGAGCAGCTAGGTGGCGAGATACCAGTTGAGGTATTTGATTTACTCTTCAGAATATGCTGTTATTTATTTACTTCTGTTTTTTTTGTACTTCGTATGATTTATCGAAGATGATTGATTTCTCTTAGCAAATTGTGAATGCTCAGTGTTCGTATATTCTGGCTATTAGCAAATTTTGTGCACTTAGGAAAGCAACATCTAATTCCTCCAATTTAATCATTCCAATTGCAGTCAGATATATCTGGTGAAGTCACAAAGATCCTATGCAAGGATGGCGGTACGCTCATTAAAATTTTCTGCTATGCCTTGATGATTGAGAATTAAAGTGTTTTTTTTTTTTTTTTTTCTCAGTATTATTTCCTTTTGCTCCTGCTAATCTTAGTTTTTCAACAGAACCTGTGGGATATGGTGATGCTATAATCGCGATCCTCCCATCTTTTCCTGGGATAAAGAAGCTACAACTGGAAGGATAACACACCTTATTTCTATCCGTTGGTTGAAACAGGAGCACAAGCATTGATGCCTCAAAATCTGTTTGCTTTGCCTCCAGGAAACCAATGTTTAACTTTTATTTTAATATAATTATTTTACAGGGTTATTGGATTTTCCAGTAGTATTTCCAGCCCATTTTGGTTGGGATTGCATAAAGCTGTTTATCCTATTCACCTTCTGTAATTATACTCTCCATTTTTCCCCAAACTAGATATTTTTTGGAACTATTTCCCGTGGACAACAGACTCTGCTGGACTCAGCTCTAAGTTTAACTGGATTCCGCTAGTCCTCAACTGAAAACAGACAACACGAAAGTTGCAAGCGCTCATCATGTTATTTACACTTGCGAGCACAGAGAACACGAAAGGTGCGAGCTCTCATTTTGTTATTTGACACTTACGAACATACAGAAAACATGAAAGTTGCAAGCTCCCATTATGTTATTTATACTAGCAAGCATACTGACAACATAAAGTTGGGGAATGATGGACCGCTACCCGGTATGGACCACCTTGCCCAATACCAAGTGATGTAAGTTTTTTTTTTTTTTTTTTTGGTTTTTAAGGGTAAATAACAGTACTTAATAAACCAATAACAGTACTTGGTAAGTTAATAACAACACCTTACTTAAAAATAACAGATTTTAATAACATACTGATTATTACTATAATTCGAATATCTTAAACAAATTAGCGTTTATATTTAATAGCCCACCATATTTCGCAATATTAAATGTTTTACTTAGAGAGTTTTGACCAATACCTGAACTTAGTCGACAATGGAACCTCCGGCGTTCTGAGCTTTCGACTTTACCAAGGTAGCTAAACACCAACCTTGTTTTCCTTAGATTAGGCACAACACTGATCTAATTAGTTTCCTACCTTAGATCGTAGTCTCTACTCAAATAATCTCTATTGTATTTGTGATGGTACTTTTAAATATAAAAATAACTCATTTGAGATATAAGTTTCGAGAGGATAACGTTCCCTTTTGAAAGGAAATTTTTATTTAATTTTAAAAGATTGCAACACTCATATCTTACAAAACTAAAACAAAAAGCTTAAACAGACATGATAAGACATAAAGTTTTTCTCTACTTTAAGAGAGATGGAGAACCAATCTGTCTCTTACGGTGAGGATTTTCTCTAGAGAATTTTCTTATTTTCAAAAACGCTCTATCCAACTCACTTCAAGCCTGCCTTCACTCTTTACCTAAGTCCTTTTATATAGGGAAACTAAAGGTGCCTAGGATTTCCATCCTGACCCAGCAAATGGATCTCATCCATTGCTTTTTACAAAGAAATACAGATCACTCATTTTAAAACGTGGCTACAGTAATGTGCATGATTACTATTGTGGGGATTAGTCTTCCACCATTTCATCCATCATTTCCTCTTGTGGTCCACCTTTACTATCTTTACCATCTTCATAGTGGACTTACATGGGGTTGTCTTCTTCTATGCCAAGATCTACAACACATTTGGCAGCATATGATTCATCCCATCTGACAAAAATTTCGAATAGATGCTCTTTTCCTTCTAAGGATAAATATCTTCGAGCTTCAACTTCTTCGAGATAATTGTATACTGATTCACCATGTAAAACTCCTTCTTCTAAGTAATTTTTTAACCATTCTGGCGCAACTATAGTAGTATTTCCAACATGTATTATGACTGGGGGCTCTTCTTTTATTGCTAAGAACTGATTAAGATACTGAGCAATATAGAAAAATCCATATGCTCTTGCTTCTGTAGGGTCTCTTACTCGTCTTTGCTGAGCATAGATTGGATCTTTAACTTTGCGATGAACATCTTCAAACATGATTAAGAAATGTGGAGAACTAATCCTTCCTTCAATCATTTCGATATTAGCACTTTGCACTTGGATCTGTTCAATTCTTCCCTTGTATCTTGTCGCATCATAAATTCATCTGAAAACATATCTTTGGAACTTTGTAAATTTCTCAAAGAATGTAGTATTTTCATCAAGAAATGGCACAATGCTATGAACCATTCCATAATCCCAAGCTCGATAATGTTCTGCAACATAAGGAGCTACCCATTCTCGAGAATGTGGATGTATTGACACCGTTCCTACCCTTGAGTATGTGCTGAAGGTTATTCTACTTCCCCATAGATCAAATACATCATATAACTTATAAGATCTTGATACTACTAGATTGTACCAAAATTTGAATTCGTTATCTCTTATTTTACTTAGTATTATGTCCTAAATATCAGGAATGAGTCACAGGATTATGATCAGTACTTCATACATTAGAAACCTTCGTGCTGCTACATGACAAATTTTTATCAAACCATCTCTAGATCTCTTTTTTGATGAAACGATCAAGGCCTCCATTAAGGCCCAAGTGGAGGGTGAAACCCACTCCATTGTTTTCTCAGTTTCTTCAATAAGAGTTTTCCTTTCTGCATCCATCTTCTGTAGTTGGTCTGCAGGAGGTGTTTGAGGTTTCTTGGATTTCCTTGCCATTAGCTAGTTCTCGAGTGAGACTATCTGCTAATGAGTTCTTTAATCCCTGTATATGAACAACAGTAAAGGAAAACTAGTTAAGTCATAATTACCAACGCAGGAGTCTCCCTTGCGCTTGCATATTAGACAAATTCTTTTTAACAAAGCCAAGTATGCCTTTGCAATCAGTTCTAATTGGAAACGATTTAGGGGCTAAGAAGATTAAGAACTTCTCGATCCCTCTAATGACTGCAAGGATTTCTTTTTGCATTGTTGGATAGTTTAACTCAGTTTTATTAAAACTTCCACTACAGTATCTGCAAAGCCTTTCTCCTTCTTTGATTTTTAACACAGCACTCCAGTGCTCATTACTAGCATCTGTTTCAAGGATTAAATCATCTTCACTAGTAGGAAGTGTTAGTACAGGTAGATCTTTACACATAGCTTTTAAATTTTGAACAATTTTAGAATCGTTTTCCTTTTAGTTCTAAGTTATCTCTTTCTTAAGTTTTTATTGTAATGGTTTTTTTTAATAAAGAAAGATTTTCTATGAAATCAGAGGCATATATTAAACATCCTAGAAATCTCTCTAGTTGTTTTCTATCTTCAATTTCATCCGGGAATTTTTCAATCTTTTCCAGGATATGTTTTTGCAAGATTATTTGCCTGCTTTAATTTCTAATCCTAGAAACTCGATTTCTTGTTTAGCATATACACATTTATCTTTTCCAAGGGTAATTCCATGTTCAACACATTTTTGAGTTACAGCCTTAAGATCATTTTTATGTTGCTCTAAGTCTTTTGAGAAGATTAGAATATCATCTATATAAACAAAGCAACAATGATTAAGTTCTCTGAAAATATTATCCATTTTTCTTTGAAATATTTGTGGAGCATATTTTAATCCAAAAGGCATTACTAACCACTCATAATGTCCTTGAGGGGCACTGAACGCGGTTAATGGAATTGCTTTCTATTTCCATTTTAATTTGCCAGTAACTACTCTTGCAATCCATTTTAGAAACCCATGTGACTCCTTGTATTCTATTGAATAACACAGTTTTATTAGGAATGTAATAGCAATCAAACACAGTATTGTCATTTAGCTATTTATAATTAATGACCATTCTAGCTTTACCTCTTTTTTCTTCTGCATGATTTCTAACCATGAATGCTGGACTTTTATGAGGACTCTTGCTATTCCTAATCAACTTCTTATTCAACAATTCTTTTATTGTTCATCAAATTCCAATATATCCTGGTAGGTATAAACCATTTGTCTTACTCTTATAATCTTTTTTGGATTTGTTAAAGTTATCTTAGCAAATGCTTTATCCTTTTCCCAATGTTCTAATGGATTTGTTGAATTAATTTTTCACATTATTTTTCCTGTTGCTTAATTATCTGATCTATTAATGATGATTCACACTCAGAAATTCTAAGTGCAACCTCTCGTTGTGTAGGTGTAACCCTATCACCACGCTAGCTACGCGTAAATTCCATAGTCTAATGAGTACAAGCTTTAGTTATCTTCTGTATAGGAACAAAATGACCATTAATAGTAACGATAATTTGATCAATAGTTTGAGTGCATGGAGAGTATAGTCTTTGAAAGTTATTTCCTATTATCATATCATGACTAGGCTCATCAGTTGCTCATAAAATAGGAATAACACATTGAACACCTTCAATTTCTATTGGTAATTCTTCTATTATTTCCGTGTATATCATGACACTTTTATTAGCAATTCTAACTTGCATAGGATTTTTAGCCTTTTTCCACAAGAATTCTGGAAATAATGATCTTTTTCCAAAACATGTAGAACAACCACTATCAATATATGCACATAATTTATATTTATTATAATCTTCAATGCATATATCAATTGGAATATAAATGCTATTTGGATTAGTACTGAATATTTCATTACAAGCTTCCATTTGCATATTTACTTCATCTTCATATACTGGTTAACTTACAGTTTTGGTCTTATATCCAATTACCTTTCTTTTTTCAATAATATGATTATGCAGATCTTCATTTATCTCTAAATTAGAACATGAACTAATATCTATACTATGTCGTGCTGGTTGCTTTAAGGCTTTCTTAGTTTCATATTTTTCATTTAGCTTCTTTATTAAAGCTAAAATTTCTTCTTCCTCCTCTTCTGATTTTTCATTGACTTGTTTTTTCACTTTTATTATAGATGAATTTTGTCTACTTAGACTTGGTGATCTAAAACTCATACTTCTTTGCATTTTAGGATTTGTAGTTATCCCAATATGAAGCAATCCTGATTCATCAATTAATAACTTACTTGACCTATTTTTTACTGCAGGATTCATGAAGAATTCTTCCCAAGTTTTTTCAATTTCTATTTCATTAGGATTTACCTTTATAGGGATAATCTTCTTCTTAGGATCTTCTCCTTGCTCATATTTTTTAGCATCTACAAGTAATTTCTTGAAAGATGAATCTATAGTATTAACCAACTTATAGACTACCTTCCATCTTAATTGAATAGGTCGAGTTCTTTTATGCTTGTTTACTCCATCAGTTAATAACTTGATTGCTAGAAACTTTGGAGCATATGAATCTTCTAAGCTCACATAATATCTTGGTTCACATTTATAACTTATAGTTCCCTGACTTAAGCTACATGTGATACCACTAATAATTTGATCGTAGAACTCTTTATGTCTAACATCACACACAAAGCTTAAACATTTGACATTTTTACCAAAATCTTGTAAAGGAGTTATGTACAC